AAAGCAACTTCATTTTCAAATTCTCAGATGATACAGCTGTGCTTGGCTTAATGCATAGAGGTAGCAGCTCATCTGTATACATGTCAGAAATCCAAAGGTCTGTGCAATGGTGTGACAACAATAGCCTAATTCTGAATGTTAAACAAACAAAAAAGTTTTTGATTCCAGAGCAGTTGGTGATCACTCACATATCCACACTCACTAATCTACAACGAATTTATCACTAAGGTTGATTCATTTTAGTACTTAGGTGTACACATAGACAGTAACCTGTGCTGGACTACTCATGTTGAGATTGTTTGCTCCATAGTCCAGCATATTTTATAATTCCTGCGAAGACTAAGAGTGTTTGGGGTTCGACAGGAAGTAATGCTACTCTTTTACCATGCTGTAATTGAGAGTATTATCAGATACAGTATTACAGTGTGGTTTGGTAATCTATCGGTTCATTTAAAATCGCAAATCACCCGCTTCATCCAGACAGCTTTGAAGGTCATGTGAGTGAAACAGCAACCTTCACTGGAGACAATCTTTGAAAAATCCATAATCAAACAGGCAGGAAAAATAATATCAGATCCTTCCCACATCCTCAATTCTGAATATCAACTTCTTCCTTCTGGCAAATGTTTTAGGGTTCTCAAATGTAAGTCAAACAAATACAAACATTCGTTTTGTTCCACTATCCATTAAAGCTGTCAACGCAAATTTCACGAATAAACACAATTTTGACTCTTATAACCCACTTGAATGCAATATGTTTTGTGATGTGTTATAAATGTTACATGTTGGTACGTGTGATATATGTGCAACAGACTGATGTGCAATGTTTTTCTTATTTTTTGTAATAGAATAATGTGCAATGGTTTTTTTTCTTCTTTTTTTTTGTTTGCATTCTATTTAAATGTACAGGAGTGCTATGTGTCCACAAAAAAAATCCCTCAGGGGACAATAAAAATCTTATTTTATCTTAGTATTATTTGGACTGAAACTGCACTGGCAGTAAGCGGGAACTGCTTCCAGTGGGTTTTTTTTCATCACTTCACTTGTGAGATATTTACTCAAAACACAAAACACATCATTAGGACCAAAAACAAAACAGTTCCGGCCTCTCTGTTTCTCAATTGTCAGTGCTTTTGCTACATTACAGAGATAACACTTGGCACTACAACGTGAGCAGAGAGTAAACTTCCCCTCACTACCAACCAATACAGACAATTGAGTGTTACAGTCCAGTTTTTTTTTGTATGAAAATGTTTAATTTGTTGTCAAAAAACAGCTATCACAATTTATTAAAGCACACTGCATCAGAGAAAGCAAAAGGAAAATCACAGAGATTTACAGAGAAAAGAGGGATGTGCAGAAGGCAGAAGAGATGAGTGACAGAAACTATTGAGCCGTTTGAAACCCAGAGAACATGCCTTCCTCTTCTCTCAAGGCCATGTTGGGTTTCCCTGTTTCGTGAGTCTTTGTTAACAACCCAGAAATTAGGGCTCATCACATCTGGAGCCCAAGAGTTTCTCTGCTCTTCCTTTGCTGTCCTGCACTGCTTTCAGGAAGCAGGGTTGCACCATGGTTGGAAACCACACTGATTCAGTGAGCTGCTGGGCCAGGTAGCTTTTCTTTCATGGGGTTAAGTGGATGGATCCATGTTGAAATGTGATCAATTTAAGCAAGCCCTCCCTTGGTCCTGGTTCTGGGTGCAAATACAAACTGGGCCTGGGACATTAGCTTTTTTGGCAGATTCCTAGAGTGACTTTTGCTCTAGTCCAGCCTCAGAGCCATGTCCGGAGCTTACACCAAGAGCTCCTCTGCGTTTTTGTATGTTTTTACCCTTCTATCCCTTGTGCTCAATATGAAAAGGTTACCCACCTCAACCCCTTAGCCTGTTTGTAGTGGAAAATATATATTGCATCTTCTATCCTTATAAAGGTCTTGATAGCAATATTCAGGCAGTCATTCTCTTCCTGTTTTTTAATTCCTTTTCTATATAATCTTCTTTGTCACGTGTAGACCTTATCTCTGTTATATCGTACTTAGGAAAGCACTTTTTATTTTCTGTGGTTTGCAGCTGTAACTGCCAGCCTGCAGTGGAAAAAGATACCCTTTTGTGTGCCATTTGACAGAATAAAGATGAGGGTTCTTGGTAAGAGATGTGCCTAAGCTTTGTTGAATCACTGAGAGCTACAGTAGGAACACACTGCCAGAAGTTACTATAGTTTCCCCAATCCCATCCTGTAAAATGTGTGGGGGAAAAAAACTAACAAAAGCAAAGTAGAAAAGAACTCAATGCAACTAACAGTTCTGCTGAAGAATTACATTAAGGATCATAAAGTGCTATAAACTATAATAAAAAAAGAAATGTATTACTATTTATGATTATTCTTATCTAATACTACTCAGCCTGACCTTGAACTACGTATTGACTTTGAGACAGATGACAAAGATTTTATCATGTACTAAACCGAAACACGTTAGTAGTGCTGGTAGGCTTGAAATAAGTCCTCAGATGACCACACAATCTTTCAAGCACATATGTGCCTACTACAGTCGCTAACTGATTAATAAGGGAGATGACATGTCTAAGAGTACTAAAATACAAAGATGAAAGGAAAAAGTCAGCACCCTTACACCTCTGTTAAGACACTTCCATCATGTCCCTGCAAAAGAAAGTTTTCTTATGCAAAATATGGAATATATAGGTATTTAATATAGGTTTTCTCTATTCTTTTTTCAGCATGGAATAAACCTATGACTTGTTCCTATACAGTATACAGTAGTGCTACGAAGTTGGATACAAATATAGAAGACAGTAACTGTAATTTATTTTAAAAAAAACATTTAAAACCACTTTCAACAAACATCTCCTTGATGTAAAAGCAACTTTATGAACATAGATTTTCAAACATTTAAAAAACCTGTCAGTAAAGTACAGTGTATATTGTGGTACACTGTAAGCCACCAGGACAAAATCTAAAATACCAAACTGCAAGAGATGACTGTAAATGTAAATATATTTGTTTAAAAGCTGGGCAACGAAGAGCAGGCAGATTATCGCAGTTATCGCTTCTCGGCCGCAGCTCGGTGTTGGAGCTCCACTCACAGCCAGAGGAAGAGGGAGAAGCCTGAGATGTAGAGGTTCCTCTGGGCTCTGAACAGCTTCATGTGGTGGTGATCAAACATGTTGGGGTGAAGCTTGTCACTCATGGTGCGCTCTGCTCCCTTCCTCACTTCCTGGATAGCATCTGTAGTGGGCACGGATGGAAAATGTCTCTTTTTTTTCAGAAGATTGGAAATTTCAAAATGCCATTAGAGGCAGCAGTCCTTGAATTATACTGCACCAGTATTGTTAATTACATATACTTTAAATTGTTACTATCTAGGCCACTTGTTATGATAAACAAATTGACCATTTCATGTCAAATCACCTGATATTTTACAAGTTCACCGGCACTTGGGGTTCAGTTTGAAATACAAATTTACTGCCTCTAGTTTAAGACATTGAGTTTAAAATATTGAAAGACTTGCTGCACTCAGCCACTGGAGGTAGTCGACTTTCAAAATGGCAGTAAAGTGAACAATTGCGCAAACGGTAAGCATATCTGGTAAAAGAGTTAACTCTTTTCCTTAATTTCTATTTAGAAATTTGCATGGATATTTGGCCACTGAATGTCATTCAACATGCTTCAGTGCCAATCTAAACATTTAAGCAAGCATGACAGGTCAACCACAGGAAAAAATCTAATTAAGCACTATTGGTAAACAAGAGAAGTGTAGAAATCCACACAAACACAAAGCTCACATACGAAATAACCACCCATCTTGAATATTCAATGAACATGACTTTTAAGTGATGAGAAGGAGCTTTAAAAAAAGAGTGTACTGTTTATATCTACAGTGCTGTGAAAAAGTAAGTACACCCCATGAAAAGGTGTATGTTTTTCAATGTATTTGCATGTATGGATATTTGATCTTCATTTCAACAATATTGATAAAGATGAAGGTGATCTAATTTAACAAATAACAACGAACTGTATTCTTTGTTATCATTTATTCAACAAAAAAAAGTCAGAAATGTAATTGTCTGCTGTGGAAAAAATAAGTACACCCTCTAGCTTCAATAGCTGGTGTTGTTTCCTTTGGCAGAAATCACTTCTTGTAGACTTTTCTTGTAATTTTCTTTCAGTCTCCTACATCGACTTGGAGAAATTTTTGCCCACTCCTGCTTACTAAACTTGTTCAACTGTGTGATGTTTGCATGTACTGCCTGCTTTATGTCCCCCCACAGCATTTCTATGGGGTTAAGATCTGGACTTTGAATTGGCTCTCCATTCTTTTTTTTGAGCCATTCTGTTGTGGATTTGCTTGAGTGTTTTGGGTCAATGTCTTGTTGCAAGATCCTCTTACGGATCAGCTTCAGCTTTTTGACAGATGGCCTCACAATCTCCCCAAGTACTCTCTGGTACAATGTGGAATTCTAGTTGACTCTATGATGGCAAGCTGACCAGGCCCTGAGGCAGAAAAGCAGCCCCAAACCATAATGCTTCCACCACCATGCTTTACAGTTGGTATGAGGTTCTTTTGTTCAAAGGCAGTTTTTGATTTTCACCAAACATGACTTCTGGCATTGTGGCCAAACAGCTCTATCTTTGTCTCCTCCGTCCAGAGCACATTGTTCCAATAGTCCTGTTCTTCACCAACAGTGGGTGTTTGGCAAACTTCAATCATACATCTGTATTCTTTTTTGAGAGTAGAGGCTTCTTCCTTCCTGACCTTGCATGTAGGGCAAAGTTGTGCAGTCTCTTTCGGATGGTTGACTCATGCACTTTGACATTGACTGAGGCAAGACTTGCCTGTAAATCCCTTGATGTTATCCTGGGGTTCTTGGAGACTTCCTGCAGCATCTTTCGATCAGCTCTTAGTCTGAATTTGGTGGGACAACCTGGCCTGGATAGATTGCCAGTGGTTTGAAATTTTCTCCATTTGTAGATGATCTTTCGGACAGTGGAGAGATTGACTACAAATTGCTTGGAAATGGCTTTAAAACACTTTCCAGACTCATAGGCATCAACAATCTTTCTTCTGAGGGCCTCAGAGAGCTCTTTTGATCTTGACAAGATGTAGCCACACACCTCAACTTCTAAGATCAAACCAGACCACATGTTTCTGATGTTTATATAAGGCAATGCCCTCCAAGTTACTCTAATCGTGTTCTAATCATTTGCACCTGTTTTGGTGCACCTGATTCTAATTTTAGGCATTTGAAACAATGATAAAGGTAGGGATGTACTAACTTTTTCTGCACAAGGAAATTGCATTTCTGTTTATTTAAATAGTACAAATGAGTGCAAAATGTGATTTTTCAATGTTATTTTTTTAAATTAGATCACCTTTATCTATTAGTATTGTTGAAAATATTGAATATCCTTTTGTCCAAAAATGTAAAAAAAAGACAAACCTTTTCATGAGGTGTACTTACTTTTTCACACCACTGTATACAGTTCTTCTAAGCTTCCTTTTTTTTTAATGAATTCTGACAGTCACGGCACTTCCCAAACTGACCTGTCAAGGAATGATCCAAATATTCAATATTCATTACTCACAAAAAAGAAACATGTCTGTTTACTTAACAAGACAGCCATGTGTAATGTAAAACAATAAGGATTATTTACAAAATACAGGCAGACACCTTTTCTTAGGAGTCTCACAGAGGAATTCAATAGCGTGTTAGCAGAGCTTGGTTATTTGTACCTGAGACACCAGGTGTCTCTCATGTGATGAAAAGAGATCGATACTAGTTTAGTGCCTGAGATACCAGATTTACTACTGGTGTCTCAGAAGTTTAGAAAGTATACTAAGGTGAATGTATTCTAAGAAAACAATGTCTAGATCCGAAATGGGATGTTTGCTGAGGCTCAGAAAACCATAATGAACAGATATGCATTCAACCAACACTTAATCTCCTTTGATGGAAAGAGAAGGCACAAAAATTAATAATGTTGTCAAAAGCAACATTATTTAAGCATGTATATTTCTAGATTTTTGATAATGTAAACAGATTTTGCATACTGATTAAATGGTTTGATGTCATTTTGATTAACCGATTATTCCAATTTCTAAAGTTAATAAACTCTGAAAGGGGAATATGTACAGTGTGAAAGAATATACTACACCAAATACAGTGCTAGACTTTCGCTAAATTCCTAGCTTAATTCAAAGCATTGTAATTCATAGTTGGACACCCCCTGTTCCCAGAAATGGTGAGTATTGTGAGTGTAAGCAATGCAATCACAGGACTCTGTTAAAATATAACAACAACTAAAACAACAATTGTATACATCTTAATGTCTGAAATCCTGTTGTTTTTTAATCTTACTCTTTCTTGTTTTAATATTTAAGTCTATTTCCAGTAACTCCATGAATTTAAGGAGTTCATGCTAACTATGGTACAGTAAGTGCTGTAAATATTGCCAGGCAATAAAATATTCATGTTCGGTACATTATGAGAAAAAAAACCCTAAGACATCCAAAAATAACTGGAAATTATGGTAAATTTACAATGTGAAATTTGTCACTGTTATGATCAACAATAAGCTAATAGGATACTTTTCCCACAGTGCCTGCAGTTCATTCTTTGTAGGAAATTGACCTCACACTAAATTACACAGTTGGAGGACATTTGTTAAATAACATAAGAGGAAAAAAACATAAAATAAACTTTATTAGGAGAACGTAAACCACAGGTTAAGCCACTGGCGTGTACATTACATGCCATTCTCAGCTGCCACAAATGGCAGCATTAACTCATGTATTGAACATACTGCCATTAAATCGTCTTTCCTCTGTTGACTAAGCAGTTGCACTCTTACCTAGAAAGAAGACAATGAGGATAATAATCATAGAAAGAAATCCCTTGTGTCGCGTATCACCAGGCAACGGAAGGTAGGACCCTGTGCGTGCCTATTCTGGAAAATGTGGTACGGTGCCAAATAGAGGGACGAAGACGTGGTCTTGAACTAAAGCTAGGAGGTCTAAAGCCAGGAAGGTTCCAAGAGGGGAAGGTACAAAAGCGGGAGACGAAGTCGTAGTTGAGGCCGAGAGTTTGGGGAGTACTGAGCTCCGGAGGAAACCTCAATAGTAAGCGAGGAAAGGGAGACGTGTGAGGGTTTAAGTAGTGATGAGTTAATAGGTGCAGGTCCGTTTAGGGAGTACGGACCTCGTGGAAATGCTGGAGCGCTTGTATGCCTGCGTGCGATTCCTGACACCTTGTTCCAGCATGGGGCAATTTTAATCCCATAAACGGATTTTATATCATACGCATTGCATCAAGCAGTTTTTTATGATTTGGATTTTTAGCATTTAAATTGCTAGTCTGTGGCACTTTCATTCCTTACTCATAGCAAAAGTTAAATTCATCCATACACTTTAGCCGGGCCAACAGGAGTAACACCCCTCTTCTTCTGGAAAGCACCAAGTTACCCTTAGTGACCAAGTTGGTTTAATGTCTCCTCCAAAGGATGGCACCTTGCGTAGTGTGTGGAGCGGTGGCTCTGTGGCTAAGGATCTGTGCCTGTGATTGGAAGGTTGCCGGTTCAAATCCTGCGGCCGGCAGAGGAATCCTACTCCGTTGGGCCCCTGAGCAAGGCCCTTAACCCTAACTGCTCCAGGGGCGCCATACAATGGCAGACCCTGTGCTCTGACCCCAAGCTTCTCTCCCTGTCTGTGTCTCCATGGAAAAAAGCTGGGGTATGTTAAAAGACGAATTTCTAATGCAAGAAATTGTATAGGGCTAATAAAGAAACATTATCTCATTATGTAGTGTACAGTAGGTATCATACTGGAGCTTTCGTTGGTCACTTCTGGTCCAGAGGAAAGAGTGACACCTACAGTTCCACCAACACTTGTATATTTGTTACATGACTGACTAAAATGTTATTTTATTGCTCTTTTGCAATTCTATGAATTGTTCTATGCTATTTCATTTGTTTATAATGATTTAACAAGATCTTTGCATATTGTTGTGTCACAGCATGTGCTATTTAAACATTCTGTTTTGAAAATTTCAATCATTTTGTGAGATCTCTGTTAAAACTAACCTCATATTACAGTAAAATGTCATTGGAAATATTAGCTGCCAAATAAACTAAAGATAAAATAAGATCAGATAAAGGTAAAAATTTACTATTTTTTTATATTTGTTTACAAAATATACATCAAGAGACCGTCAAAAAATCAAAAAATTTAAAACTGCAAGGCGTGATGTTATAATTATGATCAAAACTACTACAAATGTTTCACCTATTTTGGATGTGTTCAGTATATACAATAAATGCAAGCAATTTCAGAATACTCAAATACCAGGTTCCTCCACCTGCTGTGGTGATTACGTGTTGAGGATTTGACACCTCAAGAAGCTCAAGATATCTGTGGAAACACAGTCTCGAACCACTACCACTACCAGCAGCAGATCTGTAGTAGTTCTGCTGGGTTCTTGTGGCTTGTGTTATATACTGGTGGTGATTTTTCATTTGTTAATCATAGCTCAGAAATCATTGATCTTCACTGAACTGATAGATTACCCATGTTGCTGTTACCTTGATGCACCAGACGCAGGGATACAAGCAGTCATGCCTCTTATGAACTCAATCACATCACCCCTTTCTCCCACAACATGGAACACCAAGGAAAAGGCTTAGTCTGCTGCTACTTTATATTTATTCCTCAGGAATTGTTAGATACTACATGCTGGGATTCACTCAATTATTAGTTAATAATTAGCCATTCCTATGGATTATAATCTGTAGTATTTTGATAGCGTAGTGTATATTCTATTTTTAGACATTTCAGTAGTTTTAGTATTAAATAAAAAAAAACGAATCGCCACATTTGTCTTATTAATTGGGTTCCAGCGGCATAAGGAGGCTAGTTTGGCTTTTTCTTTGACTGACGATTTAGCTGTTTGTCTTCTGTCTGTCAACACCTGGAATGAATCATCTGGGGGTATTGATCTGTGGTTTCTTGAATCATGCAGAAAATATTTTTAGCAACACAAAAAACAGTTGTGATGTCCAGTTATGTTACATCCAGTAGAGTCCTTGTGCAAAAAACACAGTGAAGAGGGATTTATGCTGCAAAGAAGCCAACACTTTCAGGCAAAAATATTTTCTCTATCTGAATAAATTCCGTATACTGTATATAAATTCAATATATAAACATTTCCTTCAAAATGTATAATGTACAAATAAATCAAGAACCAACAAAGCATATGCCTTCCAGTTTGTTTTCCAAACTGTTTAAAAGACATCTCTTTCTGAGACTGCCCACATATCACGAAGAGGACATAATATAATGCAAACTAGGTAGGTAACAGCTGACTGATGTTGACAGGATACATGATTTTCACTTTTTTCATTTTCTCAAGGCTTCAAGCTTTTTTTCTAAACATGCCTGAGAAGAGTTCAGCACTTTAACCACATGTAAGTACTGCTCACCCTTTGTATGTCTCCAGAGAGTCTGATTCATAGACCATTCAACCGAAAAACAAAATACAACACGAAATAAAGAATAATTTTATTGATATGCACAGATGTGCAGAACATAAGTTTCTGATTTGCTTTATTCTCCCATAATGTATCAACATTTGCTTTTCAAACGCTACTTCTAGTTTACATTTTGCATATCAATATACAGGTTTAAGGCTTCAGTAAAATCTCTTACCTTTCATTTGCATAACATTCTCATTAGCGCTCTGTCATTTTTCAACACCTTTTTGTTTTCAAGGCTTCATTTTCAGATGGGCTTGCCTGCCACAACAGGGCAGAACTGAGTACAAACAGTTGGCTTCCTGTACCCTACACATTTCCTGTCTTATAGATATTACGACGTCACTCGGGAATCACTCTCTTCTTCTTTGAGAGGTCAGTTAGGGCCCTAATAGTTCGAGCACAGGAAGACGGCTTAGGAGGGGAAACCAACTGTTTATTCACACACTGACTCTGTTGTTCACAGCCATGTGAAGATGACTATATGGTTTTAAAGACCTGTTAGAGGCAGCAGTTGAGACTAAATTTTGTTTTCTTCCTACTGTAAACACAGTGCATAAGGCGGTGTGAAACCTTCTTCACAAAATGCTGCTGAAAAAGACTTGAGCTTTCATTCATCTATGGAGCCACATCTGAGTGATTAATGTTCAGACTGCCTGTGTCCAAATTGCACTTCCACATTAATGCCTTTACACAAAAGAATTGTACAAAGCAAGATTAAAAGCCATTAAAAGTTCTCAAGCTCAAAAAAGGGACATACATTATTGTATCATGAATGCCTAATTACATAAGCCCTTCCTTAGGAAAATCATAACCTTGGAGGCCTTGTGGATAGTTACAGAAATGTGACAAAGTGTAGAACAGTGCAGGTCCTTGAGCAGCTGTTGACTTTAACTTCCAGGTATGTATTAGCTTCTAATAAACCGGAAAGATAAGGGTGAAGAGTAGAGAGGTGCAATAAATGTCCTAATTTTTCAATGTTTACATTTGTAGAATTCAAAACACATCCTTGAGAAGGAGATGAAAAAACCCAAAGCCCAGGCTTAGCTAGACAGTCCATGGATAGCCTATATAAAAAAGAAGAAGAATTAGGAACAGCTACAAGGAATCTGCTGAATTTTCTGTATGAAGTGCTTGATGTGCCACATGTCAGGCAGGGCAGTACTGTTGCAGAACCAAACTGCTAACAGTACGTGTGGCATTCTTGCAAGTGAGGAATAAATCAAATAAAACCAATAATAATTGGCACATACCATAAATGACTCTACAAACACATTTATTTGCTTAATTAATCTAATGATAATGTCTATTCTTATGCTACTTTATACCTCAGCTTCAAAAGTTCAAATCCATCTACAAAATGATACAGTATATTAGCTTTGTCTGTTTTCCTTAAGTGATATAACTTGTATATATATGATATTTGTACAATTTGGGGGTTAACAGACTACTAGAGTGATGTTACATTCTCAGCTTTGGGAACCCTGTTCTGGGTCCTGGACTGTACACATCTGCAGATTCTGTGCCTGACATTGGAGAAGGTCACTGCTCTACATTGAGAGAGTGGAATCTTTCTAACCACAGTGACATGAGTAGAAGTAAGATATATGATTCACACAATATCACTGGTTTATTAAAACCAGTTGAATGTTTGGGACATGGGACAAATGTAAAGCGTTGATATGTTTTTACAGAATAACTTATTCCATAAAGTCAAAACCTGTCAAACAGTGGCCCACTAGCCTTCTGAAGTTTCATACACACTATTTGAATTGAACAAATTATCCAATTAATGGGTCAGAACAACATCATTTCCATTCTGTAGAAATGTTTGGATTCTGTCTGGTAGCAAAAGTTAGAAATATTTAATTTTAATAAGTGCATGAAGGTAAGCATCTACTAAATGGTGCACTGAACATATTTCTAATATTTGAAGATTACCTTTGATGTATTACATCTCTTTTGTTTTATAAAGCATATTTTCAGTACATACTAGGATAAAAGTCAATGTTTCTGATAAATACTTTTAATTTAAGTGAAAGAAAAGAGTACACAAGGCAATGATCTGTCTGACTTACCCTTCTTTGATTGTCATAAGTTTCTTCTGTTTCATCATCGGTGAAGGTCAGAGGCTCTTTGGAATCCTGCATCAAAGAGATCTATAGAAAAAAAGTGGAATATATGTAATTCTATATTTTTTCAGTTATACTGTATATACACTTTCATATATAAAAGTAGTCCTGTAACATACAGTGTGTCCTCAATGCCATTTATTTTCTACGTACAACATATATTCTTACCTTTTCAAAGATTGGATCTTGAATGGCGCCATTTATAGTTTGTATCTTAATAAAGAGGACTGCGTCATGCACAGATATAAACATAATGTCTTTCTTCACTGCGTCATCAAAAAAGCCACAGAATTCCATTTTTTGAGCAATTTCATCTAACAAAAGAAGATATTTTGCATTATTCACAAATATGATGCAAACAGCATTGTAATACCAGATATCTATGATTTTCAAATTAAAATAATGATATAGTATTAAACAAATGACAGATGTACCATTGAATGTATTCTGCAGCAGTCTGCAAACTCTGCATTTCAGAGTCAAGTATTTGAAATGATTTTGCAGTTTTTGTTTAATAGACTAATATAATACAAGTGAAAAATCCCTCCGGTAGATTAACATTTATTTAAACATTCACTATAAATTAAAATATTGATATCATACCATCATATCCAGCGATATAGACATTCACACCTATTTTCTGAAATTCTTTAATGACCTGTTAGGACATGAAAAATAATTAGGAATCTGTATAATGAACAGTTTTATACAGGTAGCCATTTAAACTCTTAAGCATATAATTGCTTTGGGGGTTTAGCACAATGTTTTGATGATTGGCAAAACACTGTGCTAAACCCCCAAAGCAATTATATGTGCAATACTTTGAAATGCCATAAAAACAGCAATCAGAAAACTATAACATCTCTACTGTGAAAGCAGTAGCATTACTGTGAATTAATACGATTTGTCTGTTAGGAAAGGTCTTTGGATCTGAAAACGTGCAGAACGGATTTACGTACCAACTTTAAGGACTTCACAGATACGACGTCAAGAAAGGATGCCGCAGAAAAGTCCAGGATGAGGCTGTGGAAGCTGACTTTAGGCACTGCCACCTTCACTGGCAGGTCAGAATCCCAGTCCACTCGTATCTCCACCTCTGTGGTGGGAATACTGCTCTCCTCCATCTCCTCCAGCTCCTTCTCCATCTCAAAGCCCTCGTTATCAATCCCCATGGTAGACACCACACCTTTCTAGTCAGAGAGAGCAGGACATCCACTTAAATCACAAGCCACAAAAACAAGGCTTGTTGACAGAGAGTGCAAGGGCTGTCATAGTTCTGTACAGAAGACAAAATCATCTTCAAAACTAGAGCCGTTTACTAGATGATTCTTGTTTCGAATTTTGTGGTGAGTTTTGCTACAAAAATAGTGTACGGTATTTAAAACTACACTAAAAAGAAATATACAGTACTTAGAATCACGGATGTTCTTTTTAGGTTTAACCATGTTGTCGCAAATTTTCCAAAAGCCTCCGTGAGATTCAATGAAAATGTTAAGCAAACATTCCCCCTAGTGGATAGAAATGTTATTGAAGTTAAAACTGCAGGTACTGGGAACATTCTGAACACAAACCTTTCCCTACAGATTCCTGCTATTGTGGGTCATGGAGGAGCTGGAGCCTATCTCGACAAACAACAGGCGCAAGGCAGGGTACCCCCTGGATAGGACACCAGTCCATCGCAGGGCAGACAGACAAACACACTCATACCTAGGGCCAATTTTCCAAGAAATCAATTAACCTACCAGTATGTTTTTGGATTATGGGAGGAAACCCATGCAAATACAAGGAGAAGAAGTAAACACCATGCAGATAGCACCTCAGGTCCAGAACTGAACCTAAGGCCCCACCTTCCAGAAAAAGCCTTCCAGAACTTGTGCTGAAAAACTCTGTTTTAGTAAAAACAGACTTGGCTCTTACACAAAATACTGTAGCTCAAGTCAGACAGGAGGCAACATGTTGACTTGGTAGAATCAGAATTGTTAAAGAACTGCATATAATATTTACCTCCCTAAAACATTAGGAAATGAAAATACATATACCACAAAGTAAAGAATTACAGAACATTCAAATAAAACATGTAAGCCAATACTTTTCTTTATTATTTGTCATGATGTTCTTAGCATCAGAAACATACACACACAAATCTTACCTTTGTAGCTCTTAACCTTCCTTTCTTAATGAGATTCTGGATCATCCTCAGTGCCTTTGTCCTCTTCTTCAACACTCGGGCAGCATCAACACCGACCTGAATCACAAATTTAGTTTAAAATGTTGTGGATTTCACACAAATTTGACATTTCTCAAGATTAGTGCTTCTGATGAAATCAACTTACTACTGCCTTCAAGCGGTCTTTAAAGTAGTCAATGTTAGCGAAGAAAATTGGTGAATTGCATTTGAAGATTTTGATTCCAGGTATTTCTGCAACCTGGAAAAAAACAACAAACAACATAATATGTACAGTACAGTATTTGATTAGGCACTGGAACATCAACAGAAATCGTGTTAATTAGGTTTTGAAAAACTCTATCTAATTGAACCTTTTTAATGAATTTTTGTGACACAGAAAGACTAATCCACACAGAATAGGAACCTAGAAAGTCTGTTTTAAAGGGAGTTCTTTTCTTTGAAAAGAAAAGAATTTATAACAAATATATATGCATATTCAATGTTATATACACAAGTTAGTGGAAGTGAAGGGTGTTTTCTGTCAGTGAAAAGGAATGTGTGTCTTACGTGCTTGTAGTCTTTGATATTCTTGTAGATATCTGTCCCTGGAAAGTTCCCCAGAGCAGAACAGGTGGGGCTGAGACCGAAGAGAAGAGGTCATTAGTGGCTGAGAAATACTTGAACACTCATAAACAGGGGAATGAAGTGAACATTACCTAATGTTATTGCTTTACTGAACATTGCTGAACATTATTACTTGAGAATGATAAAATAACAATACCAAACCAATCATACTGGATGCTTTCCATTAGGAGACACTCCCCTTTTATAGTCCTGAGCAATCCACGAACCCTGAAATATCAGTGTGACTGTATATTTCCATGCCACCACCAGGGGTTTTATGTATGTGCAGAGAGCCTATAACATCAACCAGCACAGGTCTAAATGATATTTGACTCCTCCCCGAATCCACTGTCAAAAGACTCAGATCTGTAAGTATTTCAGGGTTATGTATTCAATAGTAATAAGAACAGCAACAAACAGCTTTATATAGCACTTTAGTCACAAAGGATCCCACTGTGGTTTAAATATAAGGAGAGGACCCACGTCATCCACCACTGAGCTGTCGCCCTTACCTGAATGATGCCTGACAGCTAGTTTGCACAAGCAACAATCCTGCACAAATATCAGGTGAATGGCTTCACCAGTTGAATTGAGAGTTAACTTTGGGGAGTCCAGAGGGGAGGCTCAAAGAGGAATTTATCCATGACACCAATACTCTTACAAACACTGCTACGGTCCAAGTAGTCAGGACATGTTACTTACAACTGAGTTCTGTACACCACCGTGACCAACTCAAACACAAGACCTGCCAGCAGCCCAAGGTCAAGTCCCAGGATTATGCATCCAATGCAGGTGAAAACCCAGATTATCTGAAAAAATATACATTTAAGAGGTTCACGACGTCTTCTCAGAATAATAAAATTAAAAGCATTTGAGAAGAATATTTTAATATATTTTACACACCATTTTGAAGTTTAATCTCTAAATGCACAGGATTGTAGATTCCAATAAACAGCTGCAGCTCAGGTACTTACTACTGAACAGGACTGCACTACCCACAATCCTCCTGCATTACCGAATTGTCTTTTCCCTTAAGGAGCATTAGTCAGAGGTGGTTGAGGTTATTGTAGCTGTGAGCTAAAGAAAATACTCAGTTCAGAGCTGTTTAGCTCAGGCATACCCTACTGGTTGAGAGGAAATGAATCTGAGCGAATTATCCTTTTTTAGTTCCTGGTCAACTAAGGCTAAATAGGTTGCAGCTTGCAACTAACAAATAATCAATTATGCTTTCCTAGACTAGAAAAGCATAATTAGTGTAGACTAGTGTTCTGTGTTCAGCCGGCAAAATCCTATCACCACCTCCTCGCAGTGCTGGCTGGATACAACGATTCGTTGGAACTAATGGTGAAGGTCTCTGATGGCAGGCGGAGCGACGTGCCGGTTGGAGTATTCTTGGTCGCATTTAATGGCAATGTCAGCTCAAAGATTTGGTTCAAACAATCAAAGGGAGACGGGCGTCCTGACATGCGGACCCTGCTGATGCGGGATTAATGCTAGGATGAAGAAGAGTGTTCTGTGTTCCCCACATGATATTCACACAGATAATCCCTGACACAGACAGCTAGAATTCCCTCTTGGAGACTCTTAATATAATGGGCAGAAGTTAACGATTCAGTAAAAGGACCCCTAAATATAGTGGTATATTGGCCTAAATCACAATGCACATCAACAAAGGCAATAAAACTAGGCTACCTGGTCCATTATTAGAACTGCTGCTCTTTCCTATGTGTCAGTTCTAAATTCTGAAGAGGCAAAGAACTCTTGGAATTACTTCTCCATGAGAATAGTGAACTTCAATTACTTTGGATTGAACCCATGTTAGCCTGACATATTTTCCCCAGCAGAAAGGATAATACGGTTGTTGAAATCTTACAGAGTCTATTTTGTTCTGCCTCCACAGACGAGGAACATCCAAAACTTGCATGAACATTCCTTTCAGATTAGCAATGATGATGGCAGCCAAGACAGACTGCAAAAGAGAATTAGGTCTGAAGGTTATAACAAAAATAAAACATTTCAACCTACTGAAGTAAATTTCTATTACATGGTTTAAGAGGTTAACCTGATGTGAATAGAAGCAATTACACCTACCTTTTGAAGAGGTTCCAGCAGGCTGCCCAGTGCAAATATAACGACCAATACTAGTGCAGCTGAGATTATGCCAGCAATCTGATGGAAAAAGCAAAGCTCAATTTAATCTAAAATCTGATGGGAAAAATGGCAGCCTTTTCAATGGTGATTTTTTAATCTTGTACTTTTACAGATATCAAGGCATTGCACACTTCTTTCTGAAAAAAATGTTCTTCGTTCTCTGCTTCCTGCTACATTGCAAGAAATATTCCGGAATTAGAGAATAATTGATCTCCAAAATAAGAAATCAAAATCTGGAATGTTTACACCTGCGAGAATCAGAGCTGCATCTTATCCAACTAGGGGAAGGGGCAGAAAACTTAATAGTGCTGGCAGCCTGGTATATGATCTCCTGGCACAGCCTGAGTGAGCTCTCTTAAATAATATGTTGTTCTTATTGTAGTTGTTTTTAACTGTTTACTAATTGTTATCACTTTGGTAACTCTGTAATTTATTAGTCATACCAATACATTGATATGGTAGGTTATTTGGCTTCAGGGAAAATTGCTCCTGGTGTGACTGTGTGTTTGTGTCTGTGTGTGCCCTGTGAGGACTGCTGTCCCATCCAGGATCTATCCTGCCTTGCGCCCTTTGCTTGCCCAGAGAGACTATGGCACCCCTTGGACCCTGTACTTGATAAAGGGCTAAAAAATTGATGGATGGATTTGTATTCTGCCCTGAGTTGAAACTAAATGCTTGCCATACCTGTGTCTTTCCACCAGTGCTCTCCTGAACAGCTGTGCGTGACAATGCAGTGGTGGCAATGAACCCAGAGAAAGCTCCCGTGAAAATATTGCAGATTCCAAACGTAAGGAGCTCCTGGGAAATAAGATGTTGTTGGTCTTCATGTGCACAAAGAATTACATTGGCTAGGACTGAGCTTCAATTAGATTAGGGGATGCAATATACATTTAAAATGCACCCAAGTAAAGGGGCTCTATAAACATACAGCTCCAGGAATGATCTACTCACTTCTTCCACAAATCAAGTGATCAAAATTTGTAGTGTCAAATGATGGGATTACTTTAGAATTCCATGTTTCTGATTCCATAGTGACTGTATTTTAATAGCATTAATCCCTCTTTACAGCCTTTAGAAATACTATTTATAAAAATAAACACTTTGCCTCACAAAGAAATATTTCCTCCACCCTCTATGTTAAAGTAAATCTAAACAAAGAAACCCAGCACTTCAGCATCTTGGTCAATCTGCACATTCCTTTTGTTTTGCTTTTATTTTTATTATATCAGAATATGGGAGTTTAGTGAGTTAAAAAAAGAGTTAGAACCAAGGCTGGCTGACAGGGAGAATTGCACATAAAACTGTAACAATATATAACAATTGTTTTAAGTATTACCCAGAGTACATTAAATGTAGTAAATGCCCTCATCAATACATGTATGTATATAACATGGTACATACACACTGCTTTCTCAGGGTTTGTTTCTCTATGAAGGATTACACTAATTGAACAATCTGCATTATGAACACATAAATAATATAGTCTAAAAGGATTTAGTGGGAGAATCTGATTGAGAGGGCACAATCACGGTACTAACCTGATTTCCATCTATGGCGTAGTCATGCTTTGTAGCGTACACTTTACCTACAGAAACAGCCACAGCATACGCAACCACAGCCGTGGAGAAACTGGAGCTCACAATGCTCGAGAACAACGTCACATCAGGGTTCTGAGGGGGCAGAAATCTAATACATACATACAACTATTAGAATAATTCAAATTCATCTACGTTGCATTTGATAAGAAGCAAGATTGCTACTGTACCTCCTACACTAAACTTTAGCCAAAAAGAACAACATAACTCTGTGCAGATTGCTCCTATGACAAAAGCTGGAATTCTGCGTACCCTCTAGGGATGTTCTGTACAATGTTGGCATTATACTTTGACTTCAGGTCTACTCCATACGAAATGCCTGTTGCTATGATAGTCTGCAAAAGAAAACAACAACAGACAGCAGTTATCTTGTCACTAGCATTGGGAAGGTGATTTGGTAGGACAAATGGAAACATTGTGAATTGTAGGAAAGAGAGAATAGAGCACCATTTTAATCATCAGGTAAACATCCATTAAAAAGTGTGAAATGTAAAAATAACGAACGTTTTTCTCATAAATGTCAAAACCATTATCTTCATTATCGACAGTAAAGCAATGTGTTAGCATTCTCATTCTGATGAACTGTGCAATTCCTGTAGGTTTTTACACATATACTAAATATTAAACTGAAAAATGTCTTACACGTTTTCTAAAGATCCTACAAATAATACATTCCATTCAAAAGCAACAAATCTGTAGAAATTTACAGGCCATCTATAGGTTATTTTCATAAGTGAAAACCACAGAATTGTAACATTCAAAACAACCAAAATTACTGCAGCTCATTTAGATGGTGCGATTTTAAAATCCTAATAAAAACTTACTATATTGTCCAAGATTTGCTTTGTAGGCGGGTTAATGACATAACACAATACACTATCATTTAATATAACATGAATCCATTAACATTTATGATAAGAAAGAAAAAAACATATTTTGTGAGAATAAAAGATGACGTAGTTCTACTGTACTTGAATCTACCGTATGTAGTCTAAATTGACACCCAGATGGAAAGAGCTCAGACTCACTTTGTAAGGAGTGGTCAATAATTCTGCTGGCTACCTTCACCATCCTGTCTGTTTTTATTGCATGTGTTTAGGTTTTCAAACCAGGCTACCACAGTGAATGTTTGGACAGATTCAATGAAGGGTCTATAAATTAAAGTCTTGCAATGTTGCTATTTAAGCCAAATATACATAATGTTGAACGCCTGATTCAAACTATGATGCTTTGTTGCCGAATCTGTTTGCAGATCTGTTGTGTAGCTGTAAGTATAGAAATGAAGAAGCACCAGTAATGAAGAACATAACCTTTACTGAAAAATGTGGCTATTACATTCCTTTTTCTATTATTCTACTTCTTCTGTGAATAATGTATGTTTGGATGTTTCCAATAACTGAAATAACGAGTAACAAGAAAGTACTCACCACTATCACTTCAATGGGAATAGGTACTGGGATCTTATGCTGGTATTTAGTATTGATTTCCTTGACCACCATTACAATAAGAATTGTTAACAACCCAGCAACCAGGTCTGCAATGTTGGTTTGCCGAATGTTTTTAAATATGTCAATGATTGGCTAAAGAAGAAGAAAGAAAAAAAACAGCGATCTTTTTAATACTTTGCCAAAGTTGGTTAAGTTTAAGACTAATGTTTGTTCATCCATCCATTTTACTATGGATTGGTACAGCGTGATGGGGAACCAGAGCAATGGGCGTAAAGCATGGTACACTCTGTACAGGATGCCAGTCCATTGCAGGGCACCAACTGACACACTAATGCCAGGGAGAAATTTCCCAAACCAGTTAACTACCAGTACATCTTTGGACTGTGGCTGGATACTGGACCAACGAGAGGGAACCCATGCAAACACAGGGAGAACACATACTGTATACTCACAACAGATAGCACCCCAGGACCACTGTGCCACCGTGTCGTCTCTGACTTTAGTTTGAAATGTACTTAATTTATGCAGAGTTAAGAAGTGTTTTCAGGTGTTTTAAAATATAGCTTAGAAAAGATGCTGATTTTTCAAATGATTATCCCATTTAAATCAAGAGTCACATCTAAAGGAGTGCAACATGGCAATATAAGAATGCGAGAATACTCTGAACTGTGGAACTGACAGAAATTCCCAAGATATTTGTAGGAAAAAATACTCACGTATATAACAGATAAAACTCCGTTGTAATTTCCTGTTGGTACAGCAAGGATTATTTTCACTTGAGAGACAAACACTTGGAATGCAGCTGCAGTGGTAAATCCTCCAACCAAAGGATCAGAGAGATACCGGACTATAAAGCCAATCTGCAACACTCCCATACCCAGCTGTAAAACAAAATGATCACTACAGAGTTTAAACTGTACAGCATGCACGAATGACAGTAGCATGACTGACAGAGCCGTAATGTTAAACTTCGCTCACTAAGCTCACAATGTTAAACTTCGCCTCAAAATGTGTTGCTTTAAAATTGCTGTAAATACAGCAGTGATCACGCAAATGGTAATCTGTGAAACAGATCACAATGTTCCTAATATCTGTAGAAACACTAATTAATAGATGAGTATTTTCTTCATTGGTTTTACCTGGAAAAATCCAATGAGATAGGTCATTGTTATAGCCACAAGTACTCTTTGTGCGTCCCGGGCGTTTGTATCGATTATAGCTGTTCCATTGCCACTTGTCCCATTAATGGTCTTTATGAAGTTGGAGTCAGGAGTCATGGTTAGAACCACTGATCCTACCATCAGAGAGGTCACTGGAAAGGGGCCTGTTGAGAAGCAAACAGAGGTGCAGACCTTAGTGAAAATGAAACACTCCCACACACAGTATCACGTGTGAAACATAGTATCATGTGGCCCAGCTACATTTCATTCTTGTCTTCCTGATTGGGAAGCATGCGCTAAGCTATACAGAATATGGGAAATTGTCACAATATTTCTGACTTGTAATAAAAAGTTCTTCTATACATTTGTTTTTAAAAAAACTGAACACGGTTGGAATTTCTGTGCAACATTTTAATGAAGTGGTATGTCAAAGTACATTACATGTTCAAGCTTACCTACAGAAATGTGTCTTGAGGTCCCCAGAATGAAATAGGGTAAAATGGGGAAAAAGGCTGCATACAGACCATATCTGGGAGGGACTGCAACCAGCAGTGCAAAAGCCAGACCTGTACGACAAAACAGGAAGGAAAAAAACTCATTAAGTCTAAGTCCTGTCATACATTACAACAGAAGTTTGCATACCCCAAAAATCTTTTTTTCTTTTCAGTCACACACCTCAAAAGGCACATCCTGAGTTGTGATGTAGAAAGTAAAGGGACTTTTAGGACTGATGATTCCAGGGAAACAGAGCCGGAGAACTACGATAGAAGACCCCCACTGCCTAGTTTTGAATAAAGCTCTCTGAGTCTGTAAACGGTCCCAGTAGAGGTCTGTGATGGCAGCCCATCTGACTGAGACTGACAGAGAAGCATGTAATGCTTTGCAAATCATCAAGAAAAGCTGAAAAGCCACATGACAAGAGACAGAAAACAAATACAGCTGACAGATATAATTTTCATTTTAGTGTATTGTACATGTAATTATAAACTATTAAGAAGGTTTAATGTAGGACACAATAAAAGCATGAAACAATATTTTTTATGACGTTGTTGAGATGACTTCTAATTTTGATTATATTGATTAAATAAATAATAATTAATTATAATAATTGCTTACACTTATATAGTGCTTTTCTGGACACTCCACTCAAAGCGCTTTACAGGTAATGGGGACTCCCCTCCACCACCACCTGGATGATGCGACGGCAGCCATAGTGCACCAGAATGCTCACCACACATCAGCTATCAGTGGGGAGGAGAGCAGAGTAATGAAGCCAATTCATAGATGGGGATTATTAGGAGGCCATGATTGGTAAAGGCGAATGGGAAATTTGGCCAGGATGCCGGGGTTACACCCCTACTCTTTTCGAGTAATGCCCTGGGATTTTTAATGACCACAGAGTCAGGACCTCAGTTTTACGTCTCATCCGAAGGACTGCGCCTGTTTACAGTATAGTGTCCCCGTCACTATACTGGGGCATTAGGACCCACATGGACCACAGGGTGTTGGCCTCACTAACACCTCTTCCAGTAGCAACCTTAGTTTTTCCCAGGAGGTCCCCCATCCAGGTACTGACCAGGCTCACACCTGCTTAGCTTCAGTGAGTTACCAGTTGTGAGTTGCAGAGTAATATGGCTGCTGGCATTTTCCAAAGAGTCTTAATATGTTGTTCAAATTGCAATCCTGTATCCATCAAAAGCCCACAATTTCTGACAAATTCTATTCAGCAAAGAATTGAAAACAGAGAATTGGAGGCAACTTCTTTACACAAAGGGTTGAGAGGAGTCTGAGACTCAAGCCAGTGGGAGTCACAACCAATACCACGATTTCTTTCAAGAGGCAGCAGGGTGAGATCCTCAGATCACTTTGCTAATCAAAGCTTCAATGTCATGGCTGGATGCCTTGTTCCAGACTCCTGTAACATTCAGAACATCCAGAAACACACCACATTACTCTGTATATACTGAAGCACTTCCACTTAAAAGGTGAGATAACATGAGAATGTGGCAGACCCTCGAACTCCATGTGCAGTTCTGAATTCAGAAGACTCTCTTGTTAGTTGTGTGCCTCAATGTGTCAAAACTCAAAAAGAAATAAAAGAAGAATAAATTGACAGAGCTTAATCTCCCTTGTATGAACATGGAAGTTCAGGCCCTCCGTGTTACATTGTCGGCTGCTCCTCGAGAACTGCGTTTGCAGACCTTTATCATTTACTTGGTTAACAAACAGTCACATTTTAAAGATTTCTGGCCTTCTGAACAATCTTGAAAGTCTGTCCATTGTTCCATATCAGTTTAAGTAGTTCTCCAAAAACAACCAATGGTAGCACTATTAAAAATCTCTTAAATATTTTTATAATTCTCTATCAGCACTAATGGAATAATTCAAGACTTAGACACAATATTTCGGAATTAGAAGACATAAAAAGTCAAAGCCAAAGAAAGAAAATCTGTGACTTGTCTTTTTCCAAATCCAATTCTAGACATGTAGAGTATTTTCAGTATATCTCTATAATATTTTCCAATTGAAACATCCTGCAATCAATTTACTAAAGCATACAGTGAATGATGGATTAAAATCAATAAGATATCTAGTGAATATACTATACAACAACACTGCCAGCAAACATAAAGCACACAATGAAGCAAAATGTGGCATGTATTTGTCTTTGATTTTACAAGACCTACATGTCCCTTTGACCTTCTTTGGTTTTACAAGACCTACATGTCCCTTTTCCCTTTGAAGTACTGTTGCTTTAGTATCGGTGAGTAAATGAACTTATCCTTGCCCAAATCATAACTTTATACCTTCTCTTTGGAAAACTGCTGTGCGCATGTTATAATGCTGCCCCACATATCCGTGTTGGATGATACTTACCCTGTAAAGTACACACAAGTCCAGTACTGACTCCTGAGATAATGTCACTGGGCAGCCACTCCTTTACTCTGTAGTTAGGCAACCAGTCCAGAATGGGGAACATACTCTTGACCACACGTAGGGCCCTTTTGCTCGAGCAGCTTCAAGATAAACAACAGGACGTGTTCAGTAGAAAAAAACGTTATTGGTTGAATTCTGTGTAAAATGTCTCCTATGTTCTTAGCTTTTTCATAGGCTGCATATGACATTGCATGGATTTAGTGTTGTCCCTGCTGAAAATATTAGGCTAGTCCCCTAAATCTAGGCACAGGAACAATTCTCAAAGTTGACTGTGAGGGCCTGTAAAATGGAAGGACATGTGGTACAAAGATGAAATGTACAGTAGGTAACAGAACCTTTCTATTAAGAAAATTCGTTTCTTTCCTATGTGATAAGCCTTTGATAATTTGTTCAATCTGCTTCTGCCATGAGATTTTAAAATAAATTAAGAGAGCAGAATACATATCAAAAGTATAGGTTATTAGGTGGAGTCTAGCTCATTTTATCAAAGCATGACAGTTGGCTACACATCCAAAGCAGGAAAGTGATGTGGCAAAATAGTACTCTGAAAAAAGACATGTGAAGGTGCCTTTTCTCTCTTCTTTTACTCTCTGAAACTGTGAGAAGCACAAAGACAAATAAAAAGAATCCAGACTACAACTTACACCAATAAGAGTTTGTGAAAGGGTATTGCAATCTCCCAACCAAGAAAAGACTTACGTGCATGACTTTTGAAGTTTGTCTCGGAAAGTCTTAGGCACTCTGGCTTTAGTTTCATTGTCTTCTTCAAAAGTAGGTTTAGAGTAAATTGGTCGTACGACAAAGTAATTATGTTCAGGAGAACGATCCATTATCTCTTTTCTAAGGAAACAACAGATAAAATTAAACATACATGTTTAATAAACATTTTACTGATTTATATTTCACAGAAATTTCAAAATAAAGTATGATTTTATTATTATTTGGTTCGAATAAGAAAACCTTGGTGTACTATCAGTGCACGTTGGTAGTGTTTAAATTTTTGACACTGCAATTTTCCCTGAAGTAAAATATACAAACCATAGAAGTGATATTAAAACTTGGTTTAGCCTCATACAATGTATGTGAAATGATTTAAACATTTCATTTGAGATACAGTTGTGATGTAGAAAGTAAGATACAGTAAGATACAGTTTCTCACTGACTACCATAAACTCTCAACTGTCCAACAGAGAAACACAGGCTTAAAGAACTTACCGCTATTTCAGATGAGCTGTTTGAAAACAGGATTGTGTTGTGTGATTATCTCGTAGTCTGAAAACGAACAAAATGCATTCTACTTTCACCTCCAACTCTGAGACGATCAGGAACTCTTGGTCATGTGCTTTTCTGCAGTTTTATAACTAGAAAGTTATAGGTGGTTTTTTAAACAGGATCAGTAGTAAAGGTGCTTGATAATGTCACTAAAGGTCTTTATTGCTTGCCAAGAAACGCGGCTTGATCCTTTACTTTAATTAAAAATGTAAATGCATGAAGAATCGACACACATTTTGACAGTGTGGTATTCTCTAATCCTACCATTGTCATATGATTAGTTAGTACTATAATACATTCATTTTATTTTAAACAAAATAAGTCAATTTCAATTTATAATATATTAAATTATACTCTATATTTCACTAGATAAGATGTCTCTCATACCCCTCCCCTTAAAATATTTTAAAAGTAGTTTTTAAATGTTCACGTACTGTAACTTGTCTCACACAATAACCATAACAGCATTTTGATTAACCCACAAATGAATAATGAATTACCTTAACTTATTGGTATCCCTCTTTTAGAAAGAAAAATCCAAACTGTTGAATTTTGCCTTTGGTTTTGCTGTTTATATAGGTTTCAGCAAACACTCTGTTGTTATTATACAAGGAAAATGAGAACTAACTGGCACAAGCTTGAACAAGATTTGTTTCAAATGTCATCCCTCCCCCTTTATCTAATCTGTTCTGATTTGCAGTTACTTTTTTCATTCAATAAGGGGGACTTTATCTAGCCACATAGTTGTCAGTTTTGTTCTTTTGCAAACAAATTTTGTTCCAGATTGCAGGGTCACACAATGTCTTTGTGAATAGTGAAAAAAAACAGAACAATCCTTCATGAATTATTTACAGTATTTTCCTTTTTCATATTTACTTAGAAAATATTTAATTTTAACCTTCAAATGCTTTCTAAGGCTGGTGTAATTATTCAGTGGACACTGAATACAGAACACGATCTATTTTTCAGTTTTAGAAAAATCTTTTTTTTAATCAAACCTAAAGAGTAAAATCTTTCACTGCCAGTGAAATTTCCCCAGATTTTACTTTCTTCACACTATTGAATGGCATGTAGTTAAGCCCATTTAGAGAAACTAACACATTGCCATATGTTTTATGCATTCTATTATCAGATCTATTAAAGTATCAGTATAGATGCTTTTACATGGAAAAACTTAACTCATCAAAACACATCGACAGACCTTAAGCCTGTTGTTCCTAACCCTATGCCTTAAGCAATTCTGTATATCTAAGCCCTAAACTAAATGACAGTTATTAAACATCCATCCATCTGATTTCTAACTGCTTCATCTAATTCAGGGTCGCTAGGGAGCCAGAGCCTATCTCAGAAAGCAAGGGATGCAAGACGGGTTACAACCTGGGCAGAATGCCAGTGCATCGCAGGGTATACACAACACAGACATACCCACACTTCCCAGAAGCCAATTAACCTGCAGGAAGACAGTAGGAGGAAACCAGAGCACCCAGAGGAAATCCATGCGAACAGGGAGAGAGCATACAAACTCCACACAGACAGAACCCCTGGTCCAGAACTGAACCCAGAGCCCCAGTGCTGCGGGGTAGCAAGGCTAACCACTGTGCACCTGTATTGCCTCATTTTTGCCTTAACACAGAGGTCAAGTATCACTGCTGCTCATAAATCCCCGTCAGAATCAGTTATGTCCATTACTATCTCTGTATTTTTATGTCCCTGTGGCTTGTGTGTTCACCCTTTAAAACCATGCCATCCAGGGTATAGACCTGCCTAGGACCATGTGCTTCTGGGATAGGCTACAGGTTCCTACAGCCTCAGTAATGGGTGTGTTTCTGGTAATGGATGGATTATGGATCATGCTGAGTAATGGAATGTGTAGTAAGGTCCCTCTAAGAGTATTAAGTAACACCTGCATGGTATTGTGCCACAATGCATTGACTTTAGAGGAAGATAACTATTTTCCTGGCAAGCAGATATGGGTGAAGAGGAAAACAAAAAAAGGTACTTGTAAATATTGTAAAAAAATAATTACACGTGGAAGTGTCGTATGTAAAAAGTATTCTGCTCTACACCACACTCAACAATAGGCACGAAGGAAAATGGTAAAGGAGAGGAAGCAACAACATCAACCCCCCCCAACTTTTTAATTAACAAGAGATTAGACCTCTTGGATTTCAGCAGGAGTATTAAATGGTTTATTATTTTAGCTGGGTAGCAATTACACTAAGACCCTGTTTAACCAGTCCTATGCAACGTCATGCTACCTTACTGGTACATTATTTTATATCCGAAAAATATCTGTTTATAGTAGTAATTCCTAAAATAAAAGAATACAAAATGTGTAGTACTGTGAAAGGTTGGAATAAGCTTTATGATTTAGTTCCTGGACTATAGGAAGTAAACACAATGGAACAGAGTACAGTTTTACTTAGAAATAATTAACATCTACTTCTTTTGTCAAAAGTCAGGTTCTTCAGAGGTACTGTAAGTGGTTGTTTGGCCAAAACTAAACCTAGAATCACCCAATGTTTATATTTCAGTTTGAAAGTATGAAAATACAGTATATGTTCACTGTCATGGATAACCAAAGCTAGCTGTTGACCTACATTTACTGAACCACATAAGGTCCAATACAGTTTTCCAAGACTCTGTAAAATAAGACATGTATACCTGTAAATAACATTTGGCTTTTATTGCAAAACACGTGACAACTTTTTATAGTATGGAAATACACATACAGCAAAACAATACACTCACAGCCACAGACTGTAAAACATCTGCAATAAAAAAATAACGCTATACATTTCACAGACAAGAATTTCTGTAAAACTAGGTTTCCATTTATGCAATTATATTTAACAACAGTATTGTTTATGGCAAATATTGAAAAAAACAAGGTTTGGAAGCTTCTACACAGCATAAGGAAAAACAATCCATTATCCAGTGAAATTAAAGCTCACATTAAGGCACTTTTAATTGTAGAATAAGCAATTGTTATTCTACAATTGCTGCTAATTGCTCTCCTTTAAACTAAGTATCAAGTAAGAGATGTCTCCAGGAGAAACGATATCAACTCCTGTTGTAAACCAGATCAGGCCAGTAACAGCTAAAAATAACCTTATTCCATTTTGAACAGGGATTATGAACAGGAGTGAGAAAAGAACAAGCAAAGAAGTGTTGCAGGACCACACTGTAGCCAATTTATCTCATGCAAAAAAAATCTTGCAAACTGAAAGCCACACCATACGTCTGAGAACATAAAAATGCCTCTCTCACATTTAAAAGTCTGATGCTTCATCATACTGAATAATTCTATTTAAACTTTCATGTATGTCAAATTATTCTCAAAATACAGATGTTCATAAAACTAAGATATTAAAATACAACAAACTTAGTAATGCATCATTAATATGGACTTCCCCCAATGAATTATAATTTCACAATTTACTTCAGATTCTAAGGCACTAAGGCAACAGAAGCAAGTCACAATTGGGGTAAGAACATGATGCAAACAGTAAGCACACCCTATGCACAATAAAACCTTCAGAAGCAAACCTGAAAGCTTCTGATGCACAGTGATGGCATACTGAAAGTGCTATTTTTACACTGCATACAGTACCCTATGAGATTTTCACTACACATTGTGAAATGTTTTCAAATTTTATACAGTCTACAATAATCTTGGTGCTCTTGAATTTGTAAATTAAAAAACTTGTACAAGGCAAACAAAAACAACAACCTACACAAGTGCTTTCAAATATCACATTTAACAACCCACCTATTTTCTAATACAGTGTATCTAAACTTGGAAACTAAATGTGCAGAGCTTAACTACAAACAAAACCTATTCCTGTCAATTATTCAAAGCAATAACACGAGTTCTCAAACATAAAAAAGATTAGCTACTAAGCTAAGCTAATCATTGCTGTGATTATTGGTATGCAGTTTTTTGGCATGCGTATCATCACATTCTGGAGAACATGCATAGCTCTGAAAACATTCCTTAAAATGATGGTGGTTTTTAAACATGCTGCAATTGCTCCTTTGTTTCTCAGCTGATAAACATGAAGAGCAGCAGGAAAAAAGCTCTACTGATCCTTCTTGTCCTCCTTTTCATCGAGACGTTTCTAGTACAAGTGAAAAAAGGACATAGAACATTTCTATTAAAATACAGAAATGAAAAGCTGTATCTAAAGGGCTAGTCTACACAGCCTCACTCAACAAGGCTTTCACTTCACTAAAGAAAAGAACGTGGCATTCCCTTTATGTAGTGCCTGCTTAGGGCTAGTAGCCCTATCACCCTGCAGCTCACAACTGGCAGCACTGAAGCTAAGCAGTGTGAGGCTGGCCAGTACCTGGATGGGAGATCTCCTGGGATAGCTTAGGGTGCTGCTAAGTGGTGTTATTGGGACCAGTACGGAATGCTCACCCTGTGGTGTGGTGGGTCAAAATTCCCCCACTATAGTGATGGGTGTTAATCATAGCCTCCTAATAATCCCCATCTATGAATTGGCTTCATCACTCTGTTATCTCCACTAATAGCTGATTACCTGTAAAGAGCTTTGAGTGGAGTGTCCAGAAAAGTGCTATATAAGTGTAAGCAATTATAATTACTATTAAAGATCAGGACGACCACCAATGCTCAACATACAAAACATGCAATGCTCTAAGCTTCCCTGCAAGTGAACTGCATACAATCTAAAATCCTAGCATGACTTCAAGATGTGCATTTACTGTAGAGCCTCTGGAAAACCAGGACTTCATGAAACAGATTAAGATTAAGATAAAAAAAACAAGACCGTAAATTTACAAATTCCCTCACCAACTGAATTAAGGGAGAAACTTAAAGATGCCAAATTATGAAAGACCTACTGTAACTGAAATTTTGCTAGATTAATGCCCCTATTCTTATAAAAACAATGCGACAGACTCTCTATTGACCAAACTGTCAGTACCTCAATTTAACATCTCGCCCCAGGGACCATACTGATGCACTGGATTGGAAATTCTTGTCCAGAGGGAAAACTTACATCTTTTAGTCCACCAATACCACTTTAAGGTATCAACTTGGTTTTTCAGGTCTCCCATTCAAGTACTAACCAGGTCAAACCATGTTTAGCTTCTAAGATTACGTATTATGTGAGGAACAGGTAAACGTTTATGCCATGCTGAAAAGAAAACAAAAGAGACACAATGTTTTGGATGTGGAACCTTCTTCAAGTGGGCTCTTGATACCTGAAGAAGGCTCTACAGCCAAAACGTTGTCTCTTTTCTTTCCTTTTCAGCATGGAATAAACCTTTACTTGTTCCTTGGCAGACTACGCATACTGACACAGCTACCTACTTGAACCTCTACAATGAGGTGATACTGCTTTCTAAGAAAGATGTCAAGAACAAAAGTGTTCTTATTGATGCAGTTCAATAATTGACTCTGTAGACGAATATTGGACAATATTCCACACAAAAAATCAACAACGGCAGTACATGCTTTATGATGTGCCAAAGGTGTACATATAAAATACTGGAAAACCGATTCTTTCAATATTATACAGTATGTTAGCATTTCTGTATTACCTTATCCATTTTAGTTTCTTAATAATGTACTGTATTTGGCTTATATCAGAAAAATAATAAATGCAATACATATTTATATGAGTTGAACATTTTTCACAGAGCGGTACACGTCATTTGAGGGAATTCTAACTATAAATCATAGCGTAAACGTACATTTAATAAATTAATATTAATTTGATCTGCAACTAAAAATAAATTGACATTAAATTATTCTTTATCAGTTTCAAGCAACACTTATTAAATAACATAACTGACAGGTTTCTTTACAAAATAATAACAAGAAAATAAGAAATTACTGTAACTGTATTACACTGTAACTGTATGTCTTGCACATTTATATCTGAGAGATTGGATTCTGCTTAGGCTGTAAGCAAACTAGGAGACATTTCACCATAGTGAAGTCAAGAAAGAAATTGTTTAAAAAGGCCACCATCGCAATTTGTTTACATTATTAAAAAGAGAAACATTACTATAAAAATAATTGAAAATAATCATGTTTTTTAAGGTTAATTGAACGTGCAGTTGCCACATAATATAAGGTGCTACCAAATACAGCTCTTGACTGAATTCGATGGCGTTTGACAGAGAAGGAAACTGTTACCAGTAGCTGTTCATGCTCCTGCAGCAATCGGTCGTATTCCCGAGTCAAGCCCTCAGTTTGTTTCTTCATGGCCTCCACTTCACCCCTGGACTTGGTCAGAGCTGTGAACATCAACAGGTTTCATTTTCCTTAAAGCATCCTTCCTTAAAGACCTCCTGTCCACACAGGGAAAACTACTGCCTTTCTGCTCACTCAGCAAATAACTGGTTTCATAACTCTTATCGCCCTTTATTTCCGAGAGACTTTTAATTAATACTTTGAAGAGCATTACTCAAGTCACCATGGCAGAAGAATGCCTGGAAGAGGGCTTGTGTTCACTGTTCTGCACATTTCCCATAGCTTTGCTGAGTATTTTCATTTCATACAAGCTGTAGATTTTCTTTTTAAAGTAATTGCTGCCATCAAAATCTTTAGTTTTACCAGATAAAGATCTGCATTACATTAAGATCCTATAAATGAGAGATGATAAAACAAACCACAAGTGTGAATTTTTATCTCCTAGGAAAATTCTATCTGATATTGTAACTTTTATGTACTGAGAAAAGTACTCAATGCAACTAACAGTTCTGCTGAAGAATTACATTAAAGATCATAAAGTGCTAAAAATTGTAATAAAAAAGAAATGTCTAGTCAGCCTGACCTTGAACTACTAATTGACTTTGAGACAGATGGAAAAGATTTTATCATCTACTAAACCAAAACACGTTAGTACTATTTGGACTGAAACTACACTGGCAGTAAGCGGGAACTGCTTCTAACGGGTTCTCTTTCGTCACTTGTGAGATATTTACTCAAAACACAAATTAACATCATTAGGACTAAAACCAAAACAGTTCTGGCCTCTCTGTTTCTCATTTGTCAGTGGTTTTGCTACATTACAGAGATAATACCTGGCACTACAACGTGAGCAGAGAGTAAACTTCCCCTCACTACCAACCAATACAGACAATTGAGCATCAGAATTATTTTAAAAGAGGTATTAAGCACAAAACGCTTTTGGTTTTTCAGAGGTTCTAGGCAAAGAATTAAAACTCTCAATGAAAATCTAACCAATCTAAGTTATAATGTAATCTGTGGGCTATAAAGTCTGATTAAAACAATTCTGGAGGAAATTTCTGCTTATGTTCTACCATTTACACAGCACGATGGGCAACAGTATTTAAAAAAAACTCTTAAGGAAAACGAAATGTGAATAAAACCTCTTACCATCAGATGTTCTCTTCAGTTCATCCTGCAGCTTGTTAAACTCTTTCCTTAGTTTCTCATTTTCATTATTTGGGATGTTGCCTCCTCTGTTACCACCTTCTAAAGCCTGTGAAAAACAGCATTCAAAGGCACACTTGGAACAATCTTACAGAACTAAATTAGGTGCTGAAAAATATCCTGAATTTTAGGACCTTTATTATTTAGGTGCAGTTTTATTTTTAAAAAGTATTGTGGAAGAAAACTGGAACACTATTAACATTTAACTGGATATTGTTATAGAAAAGAAAACAAAAAATATACAAATTCTGAATGCCAAAAGGTTCTGTGGAAATATCCAATAGGAACAAAAACAGGAATGTTCTGTGGAAATGTTCATCATTAACAACTGACCGACTGCTTTAACATCTGTACATGTATGGAAAAGCTAAAGGTTATATAACCACATCATACATGATCAGAAAATGACAATTTTGAAGACAAAATGTTTCATAATGTTTTTACCCGTTTCAGTTGTTCATTGTCTTCCATGTAATTCTTAGCAGCCTGGTTAGCATTTTCCGCCTGAACCTTTAAAGCTTCACCAGTGCCTACTACAGTCGCCAACTGATTAATAAGGGAGATGACACGTCTAAGAGTACTAAAATACAAAGATGAAAGGAAAAAGTCAGCACCTTTACACCTCTGTTAAGATACCACCATCATGTCTCTGCAAAGAAAGTTTTCTTATGCAATATATGGAAGGCTTCACAGCCGAAACGTTAGGTTTTCTCTTTTCAGCATGGAATAAGCCTATTACTTGTTCTTATACAGTATAGTGCTATCCAAGTTGGATACAGATATAGAAGATAGTAACTGTAATTTATTAAAAAAGATATTTAAAACTACTTTCAACAAACATCTCCTTGATGTAAAAGCAACTTTATGAACATAGATTTTCACATTAAAAGAAAAAAAACATTTAAAAAACCTGTCAGAAAAGTACAATGTATATTGTGTATATTGTGGTGCATCGTAAGCCCCCAGGACAAAATCTAAAATACCGAACTGTAAGAGATGACTGTAAACGTAAATATATAAAAGCTGGGCAACGAAGAGCAGGCAGATTATCGCAGTTATCGCTTCTCGGCCACAGCTCGGTGTTGGAGCTCCACTCACAGCCAGAGGAAGAGGGAGAAGCCTGAGATGTAGAGGTTCCTCTGGGCTCTGAACAGCTTCATGTGGTGGTGATCAAACATGTTGGGGTGAAGCTTGTCACTCATGGTGCGCTCTGCTCCCGAATACTTCCTCACTTCCCGGATAGCATCTGTAGTGGGCACGGATGGAAAACGTCTAGTTTTTTCCGACGTCGTTTTAAAATACAGATTGGAAACTTCAAAATGCCATTAGAGGCAGCAGTCCTTGAATTATACTGCACCAGTATTGTTAATTACATATACTTTAAATTGTTACTATCTAGGCTACTTTTTATTAAAAAAATATTGACCATTTCATGTCAAATCACCTGACATTTTACATGTTCCCCGGCCCTTGGGATTCAGTTTGAAATACAAATTTACTGCCTCTGGTTTATGACATTGAGTTAAAAATATGGAAAAGCTTGCTGCACTCAGCCACTGGAGGTAGTCAACTTTCAAAATGGCAGAAAAGTGAACAATTGTGTCAACGGTAAGCATTATCTGGTAAAAGAGTTAACTCTTTTCCTTAGTTTCTATTTAGAAATTTGCATGGATATTTGGCCACTGAAAGTCATTCAACATGCTTCAGTGCAAATCTAAACATTTAAGCAAGCATGACAGGTCAACCACAGGAAAAAATCGAATTAAGCACTATTGGTAAACAAGAGAAGTGTAGAAATCCACACAAACACAAAGCTCACATACGAAATCTTGAATATTCAATGAACATGACTTCTAAGTGACGAGAAGGAGCTTAAAAAAAAGTGCACTGTTTATATCTATACAGTACTTCTAAGCTTCCTCATTTTTTAATAAATTCTGACAGGATCACGGCACTTCCCAAACTGACCTGTCAAGGAATTATCCAAATATTCAATACTCACAAAAAAGAAACATGTCTGTTTACTTAACAAGACAGCCATGTGTAATGTAAAACAATAAGGATTATTTACAAAATACAGGCAGACACTTTTTCTTAGGAGTCTCGCAGAGGAATTCAATAGCGTGTTAGCAGAGCTTGGTTATTTGTACATCATGTGATGAAAAGAAATCAATACTAGTTTACTGACTGAGACACCAGATATACTACTGGTATTTCAGAAGTTTAGAAAGTATACTAAGGTGAATTTATTCTAAGAAAACAATGTCTAGATCCAAAACAGGATGTTTTCTGAGGCTCAGAAAACCATAATGAACAGATATGCATTCAACCAACACTTAATCTCCTTTGATGGAAAGAGAAGGCACAAAAATTAACAATGTTGTCAAAAGCAACATCATTTATGCATGTATATTTTTAGATTTTTGATTATGTACACAGATTTTGCATACTGATTAAATGGTTGGTGTCATTTCGATTAACCAATTATTCCAATTTCTAAAGTGAAAAAACTCTGAAAGGGGAATATATACGAGAGAATACACTACACAAAATACAGTGCTAGACTTTTGCTAAATTCCTATCTTAATTCAGATTATTGTAATTCATAGTTGGACACCCCCTGTTCCCTGAAATGGTGAGTATTATGAGTGTTAGCAATGCAATCACAGACCTCTGTTAAAATATCAAATATGACAACAACTAAAACAATAATTGTATACATCTTAATGTCTGAAATCCTGTTGTTTTTTAATCTTACTCTTTCTTGTTTTTATATTATAGTCTATTTCCAGTAACTCCATGAATTTAAGGAGTTCATGCTAACTATGGTACAGTAAAGTGCTTTATATATTGCCAGGAAATAAAATATTCATGTTTGGCACATTATGAAAAAAAATAACTGGAAATGATGGTAAATTCACAATGTGAAATATGTCACTGTTATGATAAACAATAAGCTAAGACTAAGAGGATACCACGACTACTTCTCCCATAGTGCCTTCAGTTCATTCTTTGTAGGAAATTGACCTCACACTGAATTACACAGTTGGAGGAGTATGCAAACAAACCATGGATTAAACCACTGTCATGTAAAGTACGTCTTTCTTAGCTGGCAAAAATGGCAGTATTAACTTGTGTTTTGAAAATACTGCCATTAAATTGTCTTTCCTCTGTTGATTAAGCAGTTGCGCACTTACCGAGAAAGAGGACAATAAGGATAATAATCATAGTGAGAAATCCCTTGTTCCAGTATGGGGCAATTTTATCCCATAAACTGAATTTGAATATCTTCTGCCATCTGTAGAAATAAAGAGTTATTCAGTGATGTAAAGTAAGGTGTGTTAAAAATAACTCAGTGGCTCAGTTGTCAGTACAGTTTCACCACACAATGTCGTGAAGACCTTCTAAAGTAGGCCTCCCTAATGCTTATCCCGGAGATCCAGTCTGTTTAAACCTTGAAATCACCAGATATCAAAGTACTGGGAACAATTTGTGACCAACTTGAACTTACTAAATTTAATTTAAAAATCATTTGGAACAGTTTCTCCAAACAAACACCTTACTTGTTCAGTAACTTGAAAGTGTTCCTAGTCTTTAGAACTGGTTGATAAGACTGACCTACAGTATAAGACATAGTGGATTGGGGCTCTCCAGGGGTAAAGACTCCTTGCGATGGGTAAATGGTACAGCAGGGTGAACAAATTAATGCTGTTTGAATGCTTTCCTTGCCATGTTGATTTGATCCTCTAGTAAATGGCCTTACCTCTGCGCCGAGATGAAGGGGATACAAAGAACCAGGAGAACACCAACCTCCACATAGAGGAAGGCTGCCACAGCAGTCCACTGAAGAGTCATTGTGACTGTGCAAAAAGTATACAAAATAACCTTTACTGAAACAGACATTAATTATTGAAAAATACTACAGATGTCACGAAGGTAGGAGAATTTACCATTTAATTAACATTCAGGAATGTTTGACTTTGTCCCAGAAAAGTACCAGTTTTATTATTATTAATTTGACTGTTCGTTTTATATAAAATATAAGACTTACATTTGTACTGTATGTAGTACATAGTAGGATAGTAGGACAATCAGCTGAAGCTACCTGAGTGAAATGCTTTGTGAAGGGTACAGCGCTCCATTCACTATGACACCCATAACCTTCTCCTTACCTGTCCAGGGCCCTACAAACTGTTCCACGCTGTTAATAACACAACACAATACTAAAGGTTTCTGAGTCTTTCTGACAGATGTTTATTTTTAAAATACAATTTATATATCATTTTACTTATATTTAACAGACTTATTTATTATTTCTTCATTGCATTCTAAATGATAAAATAATTGAAAGAACATAAAATATTAGCATCTTGCTTAAACAACTTTTCACCAATCTTTTTTGCTTCGCATTATATATTTCTAATGCTTGTATGAATTACATAAATTATGTATTTGTAATTTCGTATATGCAGACGTATGCAAATACATTACATTTGTCATAGGAGCAAACCTAAACTGTCTTTTTATGAACATATTTATGTTATAGCTTTCTGTATTACACTTATAGGTAAGAACATTAGTTAGACAATCTAAATGTCTCTAAACATAGTCTCACAAGTTTATTTAATTAAAACATTGTTTAGACTGCATTTTAAAATTAAATGAAGCAATGGGTGAATGAACAGATTAACCTTATTACAGATAATTTAGCAAGGACATTCCACTCTTATTTTAGTTTGTTTCAATCATTTACTTGTTTGAAACAATTTTTATTGTATTATTAGAACTAAAAGCCCTCATTTTCATCCACTGTTATCATTATCCAGCCGCAGTACATATGATACTGATAGCTTTCCTGGTGGACTTGAGAATTGCATTCATGCTTCCGGCTTTTTTAGCTTACAGTAAGTACTGTAAACAAGAGACGACAGGTAGATAATTCGATAGTATATTCACAATAGTGACAGTTTAAATTTAGCATATTATAAGATGAAATATAGCTAAACATTCTAGAACTTTTCCCTAAAAGCCGGAATGAATGGCGCATTTTAGGTGTTTCAAAGGATTAAAAGTAAAAAATACTGATTTGCTTCACGCATAAAATACTGGATTTCCCCCTTTAATACAGCCACCTCATATGCGATTCTATGGTTTAATCAATATTAATATATAAATCATCACCGTTATGATCAAGAGGCGAACTCAAACAGAACTTCCTTCAGCTACTGTCGCCAAACCTTCTTCCTTCCCTGCAGGACATGGGCGGCTCACACTCATGACGTCAAACGTGCAAAACCCGCTCCCATATAAAGTAAAAGCAGAGAAGGTACGAGACGCAGCGCATAACGTCAGTTCTTTCACAAAGTTAAACTACGCTGAATAACTTTAATAGGGAAAATTGATTTTGTTTTTTACTGAATCACCCCAACTTACAAAAACGTTTATGGCTTCGAAAATAGGAAAGGAAATCGGTAGCATCATTCGTCTTATTTGAGCACATTGGTTATGCAAAATGTGTGTCTGGCTTTAGTACAAAGAATGTGAATCTGTGGAACAAAGTGTAGTACTGTTTAGAATCTTAATGCTATTACAGTACTCACGGACACAAAAAGCAAACCTAGTGAGTAGCATAAACCTGCAATTACACCCAAGCTGTACCACCCAAACGAAACTGTAGAGTATCACTGGGCCTTTCCAGTATCTTAAGGATATTTGCAGGCTGAAAAAGACGGTTAAGATATTTCAGTTCATCTATTGCAGTTGCAAAAGAACGTAAAGAATGAACTGTCTCAGAGATAAAGATCATCACAATGGCACGGAAATTGGCGCTGTATTGTGACTGTTTCACTAAAGAAGGAAAAGATAACATTCCTCAGGCTGAGGAAAGACTTAAGTTTCATATTCGTTTACAGTATATTAATATAGGAAAGAGAACTGTTGCAAGCACAATGATTCACTAAAATTATAGGGTATATACTTAGAAGTGCAAAACCTAAATGAATATACTGTACTATTAAAACTACATGCAGTAGAAATTATTCTTTACGAATATTTCATACAATTTTGGTTACTAAGATGCAAGAAAGATATCGTTGCTTTTCAGAGAAGAAAAACTAGATAAATTCCTGGTCTCAAAGTCAACCCAATGGCCTCCTTCAAATGAATAGTAAAACACAAAACTGAGGACACAAGTGGAAATTATGTGGACGCATTACTATACAAAAAGCTTTTTTTGTAGCCGATATCTTGAATTCCATCAAGAAACCGTTGGACAAGATTCAAGATCAATTAGCATCATCCAGGTGCGGGCTGCACATTGGTGGTGGAAGAAGGGCAGTCCTCATTATCTGTAAAGCTTTTTGAGCAGAGTGGCCAGAAAAAAAAAATATACATGTAATGAATTATTATTGAAAAAAATGTACATGATTGGCTGAGTTTTAAGCTTTTCTTATGCTTAGATCAGATGGTAATTGACTAGTTTGCTCATAAATATCTCATAGCAGTGTTTCTAAACAACAGGTGTGTTACACCAGTGTCCTGTCTAAATTCCACTCTGGGCCTGAAAACATTTACCTAAAGTTCCCCATTAACATTTTTTGCAGCTGTCCGCCTGATCTGCTATATAATGGTGCACAGTGGCTACCACTCCTCACCCAGGTGGGTGCTGCACTTGGCTTGTGAGTAAAGTGGCTTTTCTCCTTCAAAACAAGTTTCCATTTTTCCTTTTACAAAGCTGATTTCAGATCCTTACCATAATATTTTTCCATCAATAGTAGTCTTTTTATGAACTGTGTTATAATTTGACCAACATATATAAAAAGATTATTTAAAAAATTACAGTTGGTTTAGTCCTTTTTTCAAGTCATACAATACACATTGTATGTAAAACAACTTTATTTAAAAAAAAACTCCACTTAAAACAGCATTTAAAAGGTTAAAACATTTTCCCCCTGTAATTCCTAAACGATCTCACGAGCGGAGCCGTAAGTTTCATTCAAGTAATCTAGAACAGCAGAGGTGCTAGACAGAGCATTAAAAACTTTCTTTTCTTGTTGCGAGGTAATCTTCTCCATCATGTACATTAAATGGTGATGAAAGCAGGTGAAGGGAGTTCCGTGTTCTAAAGCAATGTCCACCCAGTCCCAGACACATTCCAATGGCGTATCTTCATACCCAGCAAACATTGCTGGATTGGCTAGCAAACCTCTTGCTGCCATTACACCTGTGGAAAAGAGAAGAAGAGACAGTCTTTGTAGCATAAAATTAACAATCGGTGTAATTCATATATTTTGTTTCCAACATCAGTGTGGAGGAAGGGTTACCTGTCGGTTAGTACAGCTGCCTCGTAGCTCTTAGGTACTGGGTTTGAGATTGACGGTGTCTTCTGTGTGATGTTGTGTGATCTTGTGTACACGTGGGTTTTGGGGTGCCCAGGGTTTTGTCTGGGTGCTCCCACATGCCAAAACATATCGGAGAGGTCAAGCAGCATCTCTAAATTGTCTCTGCATGCCTGTGTATGTGTGTGTGCCCTGTGTGTCCAGTTTGAAGTGTAGTACCACCTCGCATCCCAGATCGGTTCTAGATTACTGAGACCTTTACCAGGAATTGGAGGCTATCTGATAATTGAGGGAAGGCTACTTCAAATATTTGTGTTGGCATTTCTGCAGATATTGCAGACAGACATATTTCAATACTATAACTATAAATGAGATAATTCCCTAGAACACCTTAAACACATAGTTACTAACATGAATGTACGCATTCAGCACAATAAGGAGAGGTATCGCTGACAAATACGTACAGTTAAACAAAACCTTTAATACAATGAATAAATTAGTTAAGAACCATTTCCAAAATAGTGCTGGCATTTATCTCTTAACTTGATTATGAAATATAGACTAATGAACACCACAGAAATGGTGTGATGTTCGAGGGCAACAGCAGCAAGTCAAGTTTTTAGATAATTACCAATTACAAATTGCAAGGGGGCAAAGAAAAAAATAAAAGTAAGTGGTCATTTAATAGAAAAAAATATTTTAAAAAATGTACTCTGTATTGGCCACACCTACAACCTTCCTTCTCCCTGCTGATTGGGAATCTGACTTAGAGCCATTTCATTTAGAATCTGGTTGTACACTAGGGCTGCAAAATAAGACACGTTTCAAATGGCAGGTTTTCTAACTACTACGTACTGTAAGCATCCTCTTTTTCCAGAAATACGCACAGTGACCATGGTCTCTTACCGTCAATCGCCGTGAGCTGGCGAGTAGACTCTACATCTTTGAGATTCTTAATATCACCGTTGGCAACTACAGGGACAGACAAGCTGTCTTTAATGGTCTTTATTGCATCGTAGTGCACTGGCTGGTGACGTTCGTCCGCTGTCCGCCCATGGACTGTGACCCAGGAAACACCAGCTGCCTCTGCCTTCTGGCACAGATCAACCGTCAGCCTGATATCACGATGGATTCTAGTCCGAAAGGTGAAAACAAAGAACAATGCAATACACTCTAGATTAATAACTACATGAGAAATCTCAGTTATAGTTTTATTCCATAAAGTATTGGGTGGCATTAAGTTTAAATTATACACCCATTTGGAATGTTACTTTCCCGGGCAGGATTTTCATACTGGGAAACATTTAAAAAAATATCTGTTACATGAAGTGAATACATTTATTTTGGGGACAGCTGGTCTCTAAACCCTAGATGCCACCCTGTGCTAGACCCATCCTACAGATGTTCAGTGTGGCAGGCACGGCATCCAGAGCACAGCAGTCATCTTGCAAGAAAGCGCTCATACATAAGCCACATGAAGATATGCGTTGTCCTGCTGGAATAGACCAACAGGAAAGGCAATAAGTGAGTTCTCGGGAAAAGCTTACTGCATTTTGAGATACGTAGCATTTAAGGAACAAGTAAAGGTTTATTCCATGCTGAAAAGAGAAGAACCACAACCTTTTTCATCTGTGGAGCATTCTTCGGGTGTGAGGGTAAGTAGTACTTAGACATTCCTAGCCAGACCATGACCTTTGGGCCTCTGAATGAATCCTGCGGCGTTGTAGTGATTTGTGCTCTCCCAGACTGTGGATACTCATTGCCAAACTGCATTCACCTGTTACATCTTGCTAGGTTAGAATATTCCAGCTGTGAACACCCTCAAAGTTGAGCAACGGTGCGCCGACTCGATCCAATCTCAGTGTTGTTCATTTGAAAGTGGGGCATATTGGTTCCTTCCTGGTTTTTCTATTTTGATTTTCACCATGTACGACATTTAGTAGGTCAAATCACCACATCTCCTGTGCCCAATCAACTCTTACTAATGAGCTGATTTAGCATTAGTACCAATTGTGAAGGTCACTCAGATGGCCAGTCAGAAATGATAAATTAATCAAAATGACACCAATGTAATTCTCAAAATTAGTATACCTTTCTACATGCATATTTTTATAAACAGAGTGACAGGCTTCTTTTAATACTCTATATGATAATGGATATACTGTATAACATAATGTACTGTACCAATAACCAAACAAATGCATTACCGTATTTTGATGGAGACTGAAAAGTTGGGATTTTCCACTTGGTTTCTGACCTGCCTCACCATGTCTCGAACAAGCTCAGGCTTGTTTATCAGGCAAGCACCATATCCGTCTGCCATGGCCCATCTTGAATAAAGCGACACCAAATGCAAAACGTCATAGTGAACCACTGAAAAAACCTTCTCATTCACCTGTGAATTTGTTTTTTGTTACAACATTTGCTCATTAACTTTGTTATGGTACAATTCACAAATGAAATTAATTGGAGACAGAAAACAAATACAGTCTATATCACTTTTATCACTGTTAATGTAAAGCTCTGCTTAAAAACATCAAATTAAATATATTGGAACATAATGGGGGTCAAAGGAATTAACAGCCTGATATCACTTTTGTCCTTGTTGCAATGCTCAGCTGAACTTCCACTGTAGTATATATCCAATTGTTACACACATGTTAAATAATTATGTGTACACAGTTGTACATTAAAATAACAGCTACATATTCATGGGGATCCTGATGTTTAAAGGCACTGAGTTATTAATCAATTGTATTAATTATAATTCACTGTAATCCATCTCCTTCAGATCCTTTCTTACTTCACTTGATCCTCAATACCTGAGGGATTAAAGGGACTTGAGTCAATGCTGGATGGGTTTTGAAGAGGCATCACCTTTGTGGACAGCCACAGTTCAAATCCACTCCATCAGAGAAAGGAGAGACTATGCAGGCAGCATCAGCGAGTGTCTGAGAGTCCTTGGCAGCAAACTGCACAATCAGAGGGCGATCAGCTGTGACACAAGACACAACGCAGTGGCATTCTGGACTAGTGTTTCAGACTCAGGACTCCCATACTCAGACTCACAGGCTGTGATCCACACTGATGCTCCTGTAACTTTGAGTAAGCTCTCGTACACTACCCACACTGCAGAAGCAAAACCTGCTATATAAATAAAATCTATAAATCTAATAATATAATAACAATAAAATATATACAATTATACATAAAACTAAAAACATAATAGTATCTATAGATACCAAAATGTGAACAGGAAATAAACAAGTAAACTGTAACCGCTGTAATATGCCTTTATTCAGCCAAAGCATCAACCAAATAAAGAAATGTCCTCTCTTTGTGATTTTTAATAAAATGAACAGACAAGTTTCACTGAATTCTTAGTATCACAAAAAAATGTAACATACCAACCTTCAGTTCAGATACTCAGTTTTATTTAAAACAGACTTTTTCTTAAAACAGATTATATTATTACCTATACTGTATATCATATAATATAGAGAATGTAAAATCATGCAACAACAGATTACCTTGACTTGTTGTGAATTCACTGTCTCTAGCCTTATTAGATCGCATGAAGTCAGCAGCGACGATCATTGGGGTGAAACAGAGGTCACAGTCATATTTGCGTACAAGAGATCTAAAAGCCAGCCTTGGAAAACGAAGAAATGGCATATGAACATTCATGTTTATACCTGTCCTGCCAGTTTGTGGTTGCCCATCATCACAGTTGTCCTCTAAGAAAGAAAGGTTTTCCACACAGTGAAGGAGTTCAACACAGGTGCCAAACTATACTATGTTCATGGCACAAAGTTCAAGAAATGTCCACATTTTAATCTAAAAGGAGAAACAAATACTATTCTCCCCTTTGGAGTTCTCAGTAAATTTAACAGTGATATAGGCAGCATCTACAGTATATCACCTTGCAGCTCACACCTGGCATGATGCTAGGATGGGAGACCTCCTGGGAAAAGCTAAGGTTGCTGCTGGAAGAGGAACTAGTGGGACCAGTAGGGAGCACTCACCCTGTGGTCTGTGTGGGTCCTAATATGATTCTTCAATTTGAAAACTACTCCACCTTGTGGTGGGGCTGCTGTTGTGCCACAAAGGTGGGTTTGCTATCCTTCAGAGGTGGATAAAGAGGCTTCCAGGCAAGGAAGTGTTATAATTTTACTTACTTTGAATAGCGTACCATTGGGGCGCATATTTTTACAACTTGGCCTTTCTGAAATACATCCATAACATTTTCCATGTCCTTGGTGATAACAGAAAAATCCCACAAGTAAATGTACTGTACAACACCGCGATGCGCTGGTGTCTCGTCCAAGGTGTATCCTGCTTTGCGCCCGCTGGCTGCTGGGATAGGCTCCAGCTCCCCCGCGACCCTGTGTTGGATGAAGTGGTTAGAAAATGGATGGATGGACAGATAAAATGTACAACAGGCTATAAAACCTCTGAATGGAAAAAAATACCAACATTCTATTATCTATTTGATATCAATCATGGGATAAATGAGGGCCTTTAATCAAAATGGTGATTCTAATGCATTTCACAATGAAGGCACAGCTGACCCCATAACCACACATTCAAGTACAGCTGCCTCCGGATGTCTACACTGTGGCCTTTTTTAAGGGGCAGGAGAACCACAGGAGTATCCTGAAAGGAGAGGTGGTTTGCATGGTAACCTTAATAAAGATGTCCCTAAGGTCAGATTTTATAATGGGTTGCCGTTACAAAATCATGTAAAAGGTGCATCCCGTTCATAATTGCCCAATGTCAGTTTCTAATGTGACAATATATAGGAATTAGTAAAAAAATAGACAGAGGCAGTCAAGTCCTCCAATAGCCCTCAGCATTTGGACTCACCACTGATGCCTTTCTTTTGCCAAAGTACAGACCATGCTCAGTCTTGTCAAACTTCTATTATCTGGCAAGGTAGGACTTGATAAGTGTATTCAATCTTCCATTACTATTCCATCATATTTGTGTGACCTGTTAGTTTATACCAATTCATATCAGTTTGTTACATTAACTATACCTGATTATTAAATACCATGAAGGCCAACAAAACATTTGTATCCAAAACCACCCATTCTTCTAATCCTAATGAAATAAAACCATATCTTTACGAAAACCTACCTGGTAAACTTTCCGTATGACACTTATGATATTCCGTCCTGTTTGATATGCTCAGATCACACTGACTTCATAATTAGCAGAAGTAACACCAAGCAGATTTATGGTTGCTTCAGTTGTTGCACCGATAAGAAACGCCTTATTCTCTTCGTAATCAGGAAACACTATAAAATATTTATTTTCCACATTATATAGATTTCCAATACAGGGTCTCATTTCAGTCGCCGTTTCCAAGTCTGGTTCAGAGGACGGTCCTACAATATTTCAAAAACAGAACTTGATTGATAAAAGGAACATAAACTGAATTAAGTGGTCGTCTCTGATCGATACTACGATTAACGGTTTACAGAATAAAATATGAACACTGAATTAACAGCTGGGCTCAAACTGTTTTGTCACTAGTAATGCAAACTAGGCAAATAAGTAATTCCAAAATACTTTGTAAGCCATAAGCATCATTCTTTCCAACTGCACACTCAACACGCCGCTGTAATTAAATAACTCCTTATGCGCCTACTTTGTACATACAGTACTATAACCAGAATAACCAGGGCAACTTCCATTCGTCTGCATCCGCTTGCACCAGGATTTGTTATATTTAGAGTTCCTGGAGACGTCTTTGCTCTGTCTTATCCAAAAAAGTATTTATGTTGTTGTTCTTCTTGTTTTTAAATAGTCCTACAATACAAATGCTTAAGAAGCTATGGGTGTCAACTTCACTAGTAGCTGATCTTGCGTTTAAAAATCGAGTTTTGAATCCTGTCTCTTTAAGGTTTGAGTAACTTCCACCTTTTATTTTACTTAGTATCTACTCCCCTAGCTTGAATCGTCCCCAGAGAACTAAATCATTCCCACTGTTGGCTGCCCATGGTTAGCAACGAATCATTAATGATTTCAAAAGTCACTTTTGAAATCGCTTTTATCAGACTAGGATAAACATGCGATCGAGTAAATAACTTACGTGTTATAGGTAAGTGTCAAAGTAAATCATATTAAAAACTCAATCGTTTGAAATTAAGATGGTTTACACTGGAGCAAGCCAAATATTCCATATTTTGTAGAAACTCGGAACTGTTCAACTCCCACAATGCACCACGTGTACAGGGACTTCAGTTTGTACCTCTTCAGAATACGCTACGTTGATGAAAGATACTTATATTTGTTAATAAATGTAAATACGCCTATTGATATTTTATTCAAAATACAATTTTACACAAAAATAAAGCGTTGGGAATTATCGCAATAATATATATTTTTTGCAATAATATTGTGCCTCTAAAAAGCAGCGTTTCCTGACGCTTGATTTATACGTCAGCAGATAGGTAAGGTGGCAGTAGCCAACATGGAAGGAAGTAAAGAAACAGCGTCCACAAATGAACTTTTGAAAGATGGTAATGCGTTTTTCATATATTTGGAACCTGCATTATTAGTACATTTACACATTGTCTTCTTTGTACACTTTATATTTGAGGCTAGCTCTAATGTGATTGAAGAACTAAGTTACATTAACTACTAAAATTGGAGGCTGGATTTTTTATTTCGTATTGAATAGCTGTTAATATAAAGAAACAATTGAATAATTTCTCGTTTAATCCAGTAAGCGTTATTTTTACTTACATAATGGATAGCGTGTTCTTTCAAATTAGCTAATGGTTAATGTTGTTTATAGTGTATTGTCATGCAGCAGCATTTTTATGTATAAATTACTCAAAAATGACATATTTAGTAATATTGAAATTAATAGTGTACGAAATGCATGCATGAAGATTCCCAGTCCATTTAGGTAGCTATGGGCAATTCAGGGTGCTTTGTTGCATTGAAATTATTTCCATTTGTGATGATGATATCAAAAACAACACCAATGAACGTCAACTGTGTTTGTGATCGGTCTGCAGTCTTCAACCTGACATTCCCACAAAATACTAACCTGCATATAACTGTTTTTTTGCATCAGCGTTCGTGAATTAGTACAGTAAGAAACATGTATACAGAATGAATTTTAATACTGTAGTTATATTTATTCGCCTAATTAACTCCACTTTGAAATGTAGACATTACGTGCACGTATTATGGCACTCAAATTTGTTCAGATTTTTCAACCTATAAGTCGCCATAGGTGTTAACCTTTTTTAAGGTGTTTATTTGAACTGTTGCTTAGGTTTCGGGAAATACTGCACTTAAAACCTTTATATTAATAAGAAAGTAAGCTACTTTATAGTTATTAGAAAGTAACCGAATGTTTGAAGGAATTTGCCTATTTAAAATACAAAATTGATATTTGATATATCGGGCAACACACTACTCAATTGCAAAGACTTCTTCGAAAAAGAAATGCATATTTATATGGATACTCAAGTCTATTAAAAGCTTGTTAGCATATTGTAAAAAAGTTACTGTTTCGTGGTTGCTCAGATTTGAGTGAATATGCAGATTGCGTGGCAATACATTTATGTCTCAATGTGTTAATAGACATAATCTACACAAGTACATAGGGGTTGTAAGGACACTGGTCTTATAACTTTTATATGGGAAAACTACAGTACTTCTTCACTGTAAGTGCGCATTACAGACTGCGTTGAAAGGCCCTCTGCTGGCTACAGGACACGTTGCAGGATTTCTCTTGCACTTGTTTGTGATTGAGAAAAGAAGAAAATCCAGTGTGCATATAATTCTACACATACATCGTTTTATGATTATTTTTCGTGTTTATGACGAATCCTAACACTTCGGATTGTTAAAGCAAGACCTTACCATTCTGTACAAGTGAAATTAAACCTCACACACATGTGGACATTTTATTTCCCAAACATTCCTGCATAGATTTGTGTGGTACTGTGACTGTTGTTTTCCTCTTGTTGATGGAATCATGTTCATGTCCACTGTGTCTCTTCTGATTTGTATAAAAAAACATCTTAACTGTCCTTACTGTAGAAGCCAAAGGAATGTGTAGATTCTTAAAACTAAAACCTTGTTGTAAGAACAGTACTATGTAGCAAAGGCTCTTGAAAAAGGTAAAAATGAAGAAACTTACTTTTTCAATATACTTTAAATGCTTTACTTATATCATTTTATTAATAATAATAAATAACATACAGTGTCTATAGGACATCTACACCCCCTTGACCTTTTCTCACATTTTATAGTCAGTACCTCAGATTTTCATGCATTTAAATGAGGATTTTTTCCCCTTTTCTCTACACAACCATACTCCACACATTTGAGGGGAACAATGTTTTTACTGGGAAATAATTATACATTAAAAATATAAAAACTGAAATATCATAAATATCTCCACTCCCCAGAATTAATATTTTGTGAAAGCAAATCTGGCAGCAGTTACAGCTGTGAGGCTGTAGGAAATTCTGAAAATCTAAATTTGGCAATATTTGTTCTGTTCAAGCTCTGTCAAGTTCCTTGGGGAGCGCTGATGGACAGCAGTTTTTAAGTCATGCCTCAATGTTTTGGTTGGACTTCGGTTTAGCGCTCTGACAGGGCTGCGTTGACCTTTTGTGTTAACTAGCTGCTCCCGTTAAGCTTTGACTGTGTGCCCCTGAAAGGTGGAACTTCTGTCCCCATTTCAGCTTTCTTGCAGAGTATGGAAAATGACTTTTTTTGTACATTACTCCATTCATTTTCCCCGCTGACCTGACAGGTGCCCCAGCCCCTGCAGGTGAGGAACATCTCCATACCATGATGCTGCCATCACCACGCTTCACTGTAGGGATGGTGTTCTTTGAGTGATAATAATAATAATAGCTTACACTTATATAGCGCTTTTCTGGACACTCCACTCAAAGCGCTTTACAGGTAATGGGGACTCCCCTTCACCACCACCAATGTGCAGCACCCAGCTGGATGATGCGACGGCAGCCATAGTGCGCCAGAACCCTCGCCACACATCAGCTATCAGTGGGGAGGAGAGCAGAGTAATGTAGCCAATTCATAGAGTGATGTCTTGTTTTGGTTTGTGCCACATGTCACACTTCGCATTTAGGCCAAAACATTCCATTTTTGTTTTTTCAGACCACAAGACATTTTGCAACATTACTTAAATGCCGTGTTGCTGTTTTTTCCAGTAACAACTTTCTGCTTGCCCATCCTGCCATATTGGCCTGATTAGAGGAGTGCCTTGGATATTGTTGTCTCTTGCACACTTTGACCAGTCTTGACCATTGAAACATGTAGCTCTTTCAAAATGGCCTCTATTAGCCTCTCGAATCAATCTTTCTAGACTGAAGCAATTTTTGGTCATGTCATGTATTTTCCACTACTTAATATTTGTTATTATTAACAAATATTAAGTCATCCCGGTGCTCCTGTAATGTTCAAGGCCTTTGAAATTTTAATATATCCATTCCCTGATCTGTACCTCTCCACAACTTTGTTCTGGAGTTCTTTTGAAAGCTCCTTGGTTCTCATGTTTGACGCTTTGCTTTGAGATGCACCTACAGGAACTGCGGAACGTTTCCTGAAATCATTTGAATCGCTACAGTTTAACACAGTTGGAGATCAGTTAATTTGTTGTGTCATTTTGAAGTTGATTGGATACACCTGAGTTAATTTAGGAGTGTTATTACCAGGAGGATAGAACGTTATTCAACCAAGGTATTTTAAGTTTAGCTTTTTTTCAATTCTGAAGGATAGTTGTGAAGTGGTATGAGTAGATAAAAAATATATATTTTTAAAGCATTTTAATTCCAGGTTATAAAATCTGAAAGGGGCTGTAGACTTTCTATAGACACCGTAGGTATCTGATAGTATTTGCATCATGTAATATAAATGAGGATTAAAGAAATGCTGAAATAAAGACCATTATGACCATTAGCCAGCAGCCAGATCACCCTGCAACTCACAATTGGCAACCCACTGAAGCTAAGCAGGTGTGAGCCTTGTCAGTACCTGGATGGGAGACCTCCTGGGAAAAACTAAGGTTGCTGCTGGAAGAGGTGTTAGTGGGGCCAACAGGGGGCGCTCACCCTGCAGTCCATGTGGGTCCTAATGCCCCAGTATAGTGACGGGGACACTATACTGTAAACAGGCGCCGTCCTTCGGATGAGACGTAAAACCGAGGTCCTGACTCTCTGTGGTCATTAAAAATCCCAAAGCGTTTCTCGAAAAGAGTAGGGGTGTAACCCCGGCATCCTGGCCAAATTTCCCGTTGGCCCTTACCAATCATGGCCTCCTAATAATCCCCCTCTATGAATTGGCTACATTACTCTGCTCTCCTCCCCACTGATATCTGATGTGTGGTGAGCGTTCTGGCGCACTATGGCTGCCGTCGCATCATCCAGGTGGATGCTGCACATTGGTGGTGGTGGAGGGGAGTCCCCATTACCTGTAAAGCGCTATGAGTTGAGTGTCCAGAAAAGCGCTATATAAGTGTAAGCAATTATTATTATTATTATTATTATTATTATTATTATTATCATAACAGTACAGTTGTTTTAAAGTAGCTGTAGTAAGCTAGACTGATTGTTCTGCTTTTATTCCATAATGCTTATTTTGGCAGAGAGCAGGTATATCTGCTATCTAGGCAGTGGTATCCAATGTATACTATACTTCAGCTGTCTGCCTAATTTCCAAGCCATAATTATGTTTCTCACTAGGAGAATTAGACTCATCAGTTTTTGTAGCAATATTTATGATTTGTATTACTGGAAATCCAGTCAGTAATGGATTAAGTTACTTCAAATTTGGATACATCTACCTGCTATGACAATATACTATGCGATGTCTAAGTGGTTCTTATATTTGCTAATGTAGAAAGATATTGATTTATCAAATATATCCATGTATTTCTGAGGTAAAACCAATTCAGTTCTGTAGTACTGATTGTAATAAATGAATTATAAGTTTTTTTTCACTGAACACAAATGTATCTCCTGTACATTTCAGGGTGGGAGTGAAGGGGCTTCAGTACTTACAAACCAAGCCATTTGGCTGCACCACTACTGTTATGCTACAATGATGCTGATCTTTCATTTTATATTCTGAAATATTTGTATCGTTTATTTCTTGGCATGAAAACTTAATTTCAGATCAAGTATGGCAATCACATTACATATCTAGGTTATTGAATGTGATTTTTCTTACTTTTTATACTTTCAGATATCAAGATATTTTTTTCCAAGAGTTGCAGAAGTGTGGTTTTATGCACTGTAGTTACCATGATTCACAGTGTAATTTTCTAATTTGTATATGTTGCCTTCTTGTAATACATTAAACTTTATTTCCAGAGTGCTATGCAGATTTTTGCAAAGAAGACTTCGATGTCAAGACCTACACGGCTCAAGCTATTCATCATGCAGTAATAACCGAGCAGCTAGCTAAACTTGCCCAAGGCATCAGCCAGTTGGACAAAGAGCTCCATTTACAGGTACGTGCAGATAAGTGCTATACTGTATAACAGTTCTGAGGGCAAATACAGGACACGGGATTGTTGTCTGTTGGTTTATGTTGTGTGATGCAGTACAACATGCAACAGCTGAAGAATGCCTTGAGCCACATGTCCAAAGGGTAAGCATTTTCATCTGGAGTTTATAAAACCAGCTGTCTTTTTGTTCTCGTTTTTCAGCAGAAAGTCAGAAGCGATTGAAAAATTGCCTTTTATCATACTTTCTGAAGCCTGGTTTAACACAAGATGGAACTTCAATGATGCTTGTTGTTTAGGTTCTCGAACCATTTACGCTTAATCATAAAAAAATTTAAGGGAAAAATTAACTTTGTAATGCGCAATTTAGACTAAATTGAATATGACAGGTAAGACACAATTGATTTGCACAATGCTGTCTAAAGTACTGTTCTAGTTTTAAGGACTTTTGTTAAATACTTAATGCTTTCTGTTCTATTTTTACCAACCTGTATATTTTGAAGAAGTTTTCTGTAGTCACCTTCCCGTTAAAACCCACCAAGAAAAGGTTAGGGCACCAATCTGAAGCACAGCTTGGCAGAATTGGGATTATTTCCAAGCATATGTTTTATATGAAAAATTGGCCCTTACCAATCATGGCCTCCTAATAATCCCCCTCTATGAATTGGCTACATTACTCTGCTCTCCTCCCCACTGATAGCTGATGTGTGGTGAGCGTTCTGGCGCACTATGGCTGCCGTCGCATCATCCAGGTGGGGCTGCACATTGGTGGTGGTGCAGGGGAGTCCCCATTACCTGTAAAGCGCTATGAGTGGAGTGTCCAGAAAAGCGCTATATAAGTGTAAGCAATTATTATTATCATTATTATTATTATTATACCTTTGGAGGTGTTTAAGAAGATTAAAACAATGTCATAATCCTATGAAAGTGAAAATAAAAACAATTTTTAGAACAGCTGTTCGATGTAGTTGTTTATGTATTTTTCCCGTCATTATTCAATTTATTTTTTTAAATTTAGAAATGTCTGAATGCACTGTATTTGGTATACAAGTCTAATTATGGTTAGCCAATTGTTGTTCATGCCTTGGCTATGGTTCCGGTGATGACAACACAGGAGCCCACCTTCGAGTCAGTCGGCCTCTAATCAATCACAGACAGCACAGCCCTGTTGTGAATCGGTGCCTTTAGGAGGAGAGGTGCATCAGTCACAGACAACACCACCTATCTGCGGGAGCCTGGGGGGCTGCAGGGGACGCTGTATCAGAGAGCACCAAGAGAACTCTGGGTGACAAATCCTGTCCCACCCCGAGCAGTAATCGGCCAATCGTGTCCCACTGTTTGGGGTCAGTGTTAGCTAGTGACGTGACTCAGGCTTGAACCTGAGTTCAGAATGCACTCACTCAAGCACTTTTACCAGTTGGGTTACTTGGCACACCCCATTGTGCAAATTATTTGGTTAATATTCTTTTTCCCATTTTAACCACTCGTTCAAAAATAAAATAATCTGAAAATATATGGTAGTATTACTTAGTATGTAGTGCAGTGTAGCCTGGTAATCTGTTTAAGATACTCTTAGGAGATGAGTTAGCTGGCATGCAAAGCTGGTAATAGTCGGCAGGCATCAGAGAATCCTGCAGAAAAAGTAATTCAATAAAAGGATGTGCATCAAACCATTTGAAATATATAAACTGGAAAGTTTGATCTAAACTATTTTTTAAAGCAGTTACATGTTTAGTTTCCCAATGCTGAATTTAATTTATCACCCATTGGATTATGTTTGTAGCAGAAGTGACTCTGATGCTGTTATTGTGTGAAATTCCATTTGACTTTGCTAGTGTGCTGTTGGAGCAAAAATAATTTCTCAAGAGATGATCCAAAAGACCGATTCTAGTAGGGTTTGGAGGTGAGGTGAATAAAAGTATCTTTTATTCTTTTTGTGACATGCAAACCCAATTGTCTTATCTTTATCAACATCTTATCAACAAGTCAACATCTTATCTTTATTTCAGTTTTGAATGGTTTGTGATCTTAGAAACTATAGTATTTTATGGTCTTTATCCATTAGAATGCCAAATACCTGTCTAAGGATAGCAACCTTCATAAGGAATCTATGAAAAAATATGTAAAGCAATATGATGTGAAATGACATTATATCACAGAAGGTTGCACCATTAATTTAAAACAATATCCTACTCCAAGAGAAAAAAAATAGATGGGCTTCCTTTTGTGCCTTACAAGATTTTGTTGATATATGTGGTTATCAGGTCAGTTCCTGTCCTGTCTCTGGTGCTTATGAAACTGAAAACCAAGCATGACTTTAAAAGCAGATAAGCAATATTATCAGTGTTTCAGTTTCCAGGGAAAAGCAGTTGTAAAATCTAATTGCATCTGAAAGTTTGAAGATACAGTATCTAGATCCATGACTAATATTAGGTACACAGTTCATGTAGAGGACAGTCATTGAGCTGTTGGTGAATATTTCAGTCCTTATTAAACAAAGAACAGACACACTTTCTTGTCAGTTGGGATGATATAGATAGCTTATTCTTTCCATTCATGTGGTAGAGGGAAACGTCAACTTAATGAGTAGGTCACCAATTCACTTCTCAAGATCAGATAATGCAGGTTTCCGTGGAACTGTTCCTACAGTCTTTATTTATATGATCTAGGATTGCTTTGCATCTGAATCATAAAACAATATTTTGTTGATAAATGATACCAAATGAAACCAATACTGGAAGATGGGAGGAAATCAAACACTTGTAAATGTGTTCAGTAGTTATTTAAAATATCCTTGCATTTCATTTTTTTTAGGTGGTAGCAAGACACGAAGACTTACTGGCCCAAGCAACTGGGACTGAATCCTTGGAAGGTAATTGTCTACAGGGAGCCCTTGTTGAAGTGTTCTGTAACAAATATACAAAGATACCCAGGTGTTTCAGTTGCTTTTTTTATTTGCTGCTGGTTTCCAGTCTTTCTACACTCAACACAACCATTTTGATTTTTTGTACTTGAATTACCTATAAGGCTGCTGCACTCACAAAAAACAATGTGGTTATTTCTAACGGTAAACTCTTTTGGTTATTTTTGTTTTAATTTCACAGCATTGTGTATTTGTCTATCATTTGATGATGGAAAATCTGTTTCGCATAAGGGAATAGCAGTGTTCATTTGTGGAAATTAATCCAACCAATTTATTTTTGAAAGCCCTGCTGTGTTCTGTGGATTTTAATGATGAAGTGTTGCTCAGCATGATTTCACAGTGGCTTCGCTTCCTTCATATTTTATGATTAAAGAGATAATCCTTTCTGTTGTAACCAATAGATTTTGAGACTGATTCTCACTGTTGTTGATTGACACTTTTCTTGCCAGTTTGAAGGTACAGAAGCTTGCATATGATGCTGTGGCAGGTATTGACATTTGCTAGAGATCTGCTTTGCTTTTTATTTTTGGCATGCAGCGAGCTCTGCATTAGTTACTTTGGTTTAAATAATGCAAGTGTTCCATAGCTTTGTTGGACTTTTAGCCTTTAGATTTTTCTGATCTTGTCCTAATAGGCCAGGGGGTGTATCTCTGAAAAGAAACTGCATCTTTAGCTTTTATGCTTAATCAAGATCCTGTTGAATTATGTATTTAAAAATCCATTCTGTTAATTAACCTCAGGGTTTCTTAACCTCAAGGTTCTTATAAACCGTTTAGAAAGTGCGATGTATTTCCTATTTGGTTGCAAGTTCACATCTATGAAATTAAGCGTTGCTCTTTCTTTGCCTGTTGCTCTGCTGGGTTAATTTAATAAGTATTTCCAGCAGGTGGCGCTTCGGCCACATTGTCAACTGTGTGGCACTCTTATGCATAGGAAGGAACTGTCTGTCTTTTGGGTTGCTTCTGTCTTTAACCAGGTTTTGGGTCTGTGTTTTTCTAGTAGCTTAGTCACTTGTGTTGAAATATATTTTCTAATATTTTTATATCCATGTACAGGTCCTTGTTGTGGGAATATTTAACAAACTTCCCAGCTACAATAGGATGATGCCTTTGGATCAGTTAGGTACTAACTGCTCAGTGGGCTAAACGGTCCGAATAGCTTCCTCCTTTGTAACAATTTTAATGTTCCTGTGCGCTGTGTTGTCTCGGCATTGTCGATCCTCTTATTGGGTGCAAAGCAGGACTCGGACCTTCACAGGGCACAGAGCAAACACAAGAACAATTCAGACACCGATTAACCTAGCCAGCATACTGTATTGTACCTTTGGACTGGAAACTGTAGTGTCTGGGGAAAACAATATTGACAACGGAAGAATATCTCGACTCCCTACAGGTTGCGCCCCTCTCTGGAATCAAATGCAGAATCCAGGAGCTATGAGGAAGAAGCATTCGCCATCTTGGCCTTATTGTGTTGAAATGTATTCTAAATTTCACTTCCCAATTAACTCCACTTTATCAATTTGACATCCTCTGATGTCTAAGAAGACTTTCATTCAGTGCTACTCTGATTGAAATATTTGAACTTAATGGATTGGACACTTCACTTAAACACATTTCATGCAGCTAAAATCTATAGAATTTATGACTAATTAGTGTCTACTCTTTGAGCTTGTTAAGCCTCTGCTTCTCATGTGGGTAATGCTGTTACATAGAAGAAAAATAAAACAAACCCTTGCTCCAAAACGCTTGTGGGAGCATCTTTTTTTTTTATAATGTGATATGTTGACTTGAACTAATAAAGTTAATAATTCTAACTTTAAACTTTGATATAAAGGTGAGTCTCAGTGGTGCACTCTGCCTTGTTAGCTAGGATGGTGTGTTGGTGAGTCACAGATTTTGAGGTGCCAGTTTTCAGTGGAGACTCGGGCACAATGCGACATTAAGTTGATGTGGGCTTGAGAGTCACAACTCTCCAATTTTCTTCCTCTGTCGCAGATCAGGTACCACAGAAATCGTTCAAGCTTGAATTCCCAGAAGGATGGAAACTGGAAACTATTTAATCTAATAAACTTCAAGCAAATGAATTAACAATATGGATATATTAGGAGACTAATGTTAATGGTTGGGTTATTAATTTGCTTTTCTAGCTTGAACTTTTGATTTATTGCTTTAATAAAAGGCTTAATAAATTTAAAATTGATTTTGCCCATGTTTTTAAAAAAGCTCTTTTTTCTATTCACAGGTGTACTTCAAATGATGCAGACAAGAATTGGTGCTTTACAAGGAGCTCTTGACAGGTACTAATTCATCACCTCTGTTGTCTTGGATGTCTCTGTGAATTCAAAACTGCAGCCATAAATCCACTATATGAATTAAGTCGAGTACGCTGTTATTCAAGAAATAACTTATTGCATCGCGGAATGTTTAGTATTATTTCAATGTGTAGTGTTTCGCTGTCATTTAAGAATTTTTTGAATAACATTTTTGCATGAAGTTTAAATGGCTTGTTTTTTTTTCTTAACAGGATTAGGACCAAGATTGTTGATCCATACAATAAAATTGTTGCTCGTACAGCACAGCTGGCTCGATTACAGGTATGTAGGTGACCATGTTTTTCGCCTCGTTATTTACCTTATGTAAAACATCTCTTAACCAGATTTTAAAAGAGATGATGAAAAAGGCATCAGACATTTCAGCGTGGATTAAAATCTCTTTGGCTAGTCCCTAGGATTTCCTTGAACATTTCTGAGCTGCTTTTGGATGGTTTTGAAAGCTAAAAATCATTCCTGCAGAACGGATGAGATTAGATTTAATTTCTACTGTAGCACTCTTTTCCAAAGCACATTTTTAAATGACAATGTCACCTTGAAAAGGTCTTTAAAGCATTGTAGACTGGAAATAAATTAAAAGGCCTGGTTAAATGTTTTTGGACTTTGGCTGTTTTACCTTTTTAATAAAAAAAACTAAAACATCCTTTACTAAAATAATTTAGATTTTAAATTAAAAACAACTTTGGGTTCATCGCTCAAAAGTTCTCCATTGGAGTATTTCTGAATTTAGAGAAGAAGCTAATATACTGCTTCTTTAGGACACACTAATGCATGATTAGGGTACATATTGATTTTAAGGCTGAAGATCTATCAACTATAGGGCTGCACACAAAAAATAACTAATTTACTGCGTACATTAATTATTCAATGAATCAATGACAAATGCTAAACACTATACTAAAATTACACTGGTTAAAAAATAAGTACTGTAAAAAGGAGTTAAACCTTTTTCTATGTGTGTGGGATCATTATCTTCCTTTGAATTTCACTGTGTATCTTGTGATTTTATTTTTGTGAAGAGCAAGACTAATTTTTAGATTTGAGGTTTAATTGGTTAAAATGCGTTGTTTAAATATTACTGTACTGCATAAAATACTGTTCATCAGAACTGTTTTATTAAAGTAGTTTTACTTATTGCTGTTGTTGACAAAAACAGTTGTATTCCCTATTTAGTCATTCATTCCATTAGACAAAGGAGGGTCTTAAAGCTTTTAATTATTTCACAATATTGTTAAGGTTATGTGTTTTTATGGAGAGGACTGTACAATGTGTGGTGCGAATGATTTTTTAATTGACTTGAATTGAAAGATTATGTAAGAAGAAGGAAGAGCTTACTTAATCCTATCTTGTATTTGTTGCTGTAAAAAAACTATTTAGCATTGCTTCTTGTTTTTCTTTTAACAAACGAACTCTTATTAGTTGTTTTCCATTATTGGTCTTCCATTGAGAATTCACTCTATCATTTTGAGTAGTAAAGATAAAAGACTGTCACGCTATCAGCATGCTTTAGTTTCATTACATCATTGCTTTTGCTTGAAGGCCCATCATCATGAAGAAATACATTTAAAATTGAAAGCAATGGGATCTTTAACAGTTCCTTTTTTGAGTCTCAACATTTGAGATTGAGCTTTACTTTAACTGTATGACCAGTAACAAAGATATTGGTAAATCTCTGGCCCCTCAACCCTAACAAGTCTGTCGGTTTCTGAAATCCATCTGTGGACGTTTCAGAAAACCCGTTTTGCGGATCTCCTGGCTCATGGTGGCTTCTTTATTTGGTTATGCATAACAAATTGGCATTAGTACACGTCTTGGAAGTGCTACCGTACAGTATATAATTTCCTCTTCTTCCTACCTTCCCACATATTTTATGGCTACATCAAGTCTGTCTTTGCTAATTCTCTTGAACTGTCAAGTGGCACTCTGAGTGTGCTGAGCTCTGTGTCCTGTTTTTGCCATCAGATTTTTCCTGCTGTCTTGGCTGACTGTCAGAGTAAATGGCATATGCTGTAGAGTTCACTTTAGCTAGTAACTGGAGTAGATATGTATCTGTGGTGAAGGTGACGGATATATTTTGATTGCACGTCTTTCCTTAAAGCAGCTGTGATGGGTATTTTGAAGACGGAGAATATTTTTGTATAGGCTTATAGACATCATATATATACTCTATTTACATGCTTTTTTGGCTAGGACAAAGGAGTCAACTAAATTAATAAATGATTACGCTGTGTATTGATTTTAAAACACTCGGAATAACTTTGAGTTTTTACTGGCCTTGCAAAATGTTATTCTCAAGCCCAACCCCTGGAAATATGGGAGGCTGTCAGGCTGGGATTTGAGAAGTGGCATTCACTGCTGCTACAAGTTGACATTGCAGTCATGTTTGACATTGCAAAGGGAAGTCTCTCCTGTACGTAATCATTATTTATTGTGTTCTTCCACAAGATGACCTTGTTTCAGACATTCTCAAAAAGGAGAGGTTAAATGTTATTTCGCTGTTTTGAGTATATCTCAATTAATCATTAATTTATTTTGGCAGCTAATGAACTCCAGATCATTTTTTCATTTCAAGAACCAAATTGATGTAGTTCATGCAACTGTAATCTCTGAGTCATAACATCATCATTTATGTACTGTATATACAGACAAAAGGGAAGGTTCCATCTTTCTTCTTTTGCTGTCCAGCTAATGCATTCATGACATCATGACAGTTTTTGGAAAGCAGCAATGATTTCTTAATGATGTTCTAAAACGTTTTTGACCTTCTGTATTCACGGAAGGGGAATACATTTTGTAAAAGTCTGCTGTGTACCCTACTGACTTACTGCATAAGTGTTTTCAGGCCTCATCCTTTTCACTTTATTTGAATAAAAACATTGAAAGAATTCTCATCTTCATATGGGTTGTGATGTTTTTAGTTTTCACTACAGTCTTGTCCTTGTGTATCGGGTTACAGACCCTGACTCACCTCTGGGTTAACTGGAGGCTCACCTGTCCATCAGGAGCAGTCAGAGAAGGAGTTTAGAGTATTCATCTTGTCACCTACAGTGTGGTGGAGCTTGTTAGTCATGTCTTAGATTTAGTGTTGTATCCTTGGCTGTGTGTTGTTACACAGCCTCAGTAATTGTAGGCATGTTGGTTACTGGTGCTAGTAGACAAAATCCTTCACTTTTGTGAATGTTTTTCATTTTTACATCTATTTTTTTTTTTTCACAAGAGCACCTGCTGTAAAGAACTGCTCTATTTTGTCACTGTTTTTTTTCGCTAACCTATATTTGTATGACTGCTGTGACGAGCTTTGGGCTAACTGCCAGTTGGTTTTAGTAAACTAAAATTATTTTATTTTTTCAGAATAGAACGTTTTTAAAATAATAATAGTAAACAGCTCCGCTTGGTTATGGAAATGGAAATAGATATTGGTTATGGTTGAAAAGCATGACATTTTGACTGAAACATGCTTGCTGTAAATACCATATGAAAATCATTCTGGAATTTGTTTTTCAGTGGCAACTGTAAAAAAAATTATAATATAATTGTTTCCTTAGCAGGTCCCAAATTATGTTTCTCTGCTTCATGCGGCACAGCGTAAATTTGATATGGTCATGGCTTTATATGTACAGTAACCAAACCAGATAAAAGAAGGGGTGCACTGTGCTTGAATTTCTCAGAACAGTTCTGGGATAATTTTGCTTGCTGTTATAATAAGTTTGGATAGCTTTGTTTAATGTCATCGATTTCATTTGAAAGCAGCCTGTCCTTGATGTGTTTAAACTGTTGAAATGAGGTGAAGCAGAAGCGGATGTATCCCATCTGGGTTTGGTGGTATTTGTTTTGCCTCTCAAACAACCACTAACGTTGATTGACAGTGGATGGCAACATCCACCTCACAGTCTTCCATTGCTTGCTGTCATTTTCACGTAACGATATTCTTTCATGCGGTCTTTTCTTAGGTTGCCTGTGACTTGCTGCGAAGGATAATTCGCATCCTGTACCTCAGCAAGAGACTCCAGGGCCAGCTTCAGGGTGGCAGTCGAGAGATCACCAAAGCTGCCCAGAGCCTGAACGAGCTGGGTAAGTTTCTTACTACTTTCTTACTACTTTATCCAAAATAGCTGGAGCCTATCCTGGCAAGCAGCTGGCACAAGGCAGGATACACCTGGATGGGCCATTAGTTCCTCACAGGGCATACACAGACATGCATATACTCACACCAGGGCCAGTCTTGCTGAGTGCATTTCTTAGTTCATTAACTTTTTTAATTAAAATGTGAGGTAACGTATAAGAATTGCAGACTTCTTGCACTTTATTTCAGTCCTCTGACAACAAGGCACTTTTTATCTGCTTATCTGTGTGTGTCGTCACAGTACACGGATTTAGCCTGGGTAATCCATTTATTGTAGTCCTTGTAGCTGCCAGATTTGTGCAGTCATTTGTGTCTGGACTGAAAAGAGTTTTCTCATCTCTGCTAGCACATCAGGACAAAAAAAAAAACCTTTGACTTACCATAAGTGTATACAGTAATATATATATTCGAGTATTTGAAGTATTCAAGGCTTTTCAATTGCTATTCTGAGCATTAAAGCATTCTTGCTGTTAAATCCTTTTTCTTTTACACCATGTTGCTTTTGAGATTGCAGAAGAGCTCTTGAACCAAGTATTAGAACCACTTGGCTGTGTGTGTGTTTTTTAAAAAAAACAACAGATGGTTTTTGCACTACAAAAGTACGAGTACCATAGACTTTCTTCTCAAAATAATGAAGCCATAGTTTGCTGTAGAGCATGTAATCAGTGGTTTTGTACGTAAATACATATGTTGTGGTAAGACTTATGTACACATTTTGCATCCATCGCACAGTATGTGCCAATTGAATAGAACTCAACAAATTGTTTGAATTTGTGACTGTTGTTGCAAATATTGATCTTAATATTGATAAATATGACTTGAAATAAAATAACATTTCTCAATCAAAAATGTGAATGGAATTTAAATATTCCATTATTCCAGCCTTTTTCGGTAACAGTTCATGAACAAGGTTGTGGTCCTTTTCAAGAAGTGTAGCCAGGCATTTGGGGTTTGTTCTCATGGTCCTTTCCAGGGAACACCTTTTTCTTGGACACTATACCGCTTTCAGTAGCGCTTTAACTATACTTCATAGTGCTTTAACTTTAAAAACCAGTGTCCTCCCCCACTCTCAGATTTGATATTTGTAGTCATGCTCTAAAGCTTGATGAGTCACTCTAATGCAAATAGATGGCTTTTGAATTTCCTACTGCTTTTAATTTGGAGGAAAAAAGTTACAATCAACAGGTTAACATACAGTTGATTCAGTTATTGTATTGTATGAATAACACACAGAAGTCATCTCCTCTGTCAGAGCCCATCCTTCTTGTGGCTCAAAATAGAGTTTTTGGAAGGAAAAGCTTATGACATTCGTGTGTCTCATCATCCGCAATTCAGTGTACTGTGTGAATATGTTAAGCTCTTACATTATAATTATTCGCGTATCTGAAAGAAATTAAACCAGAGGTAGAGGTTATAGCAGTGCAATAAGGGCCAGGTACAGTAATTGTATGAATGGAAGGATGCGCAGGATGAGTTATTGTAAGCAGTTATTGCCTTGGAACATAATGATGAAGATAAATAGAGCTTTAAATAATCAAGGTAAATGAAGATGAAACTGAAACCTTAGTCACCCACCTGAGTGAAAGCACAATGTTTTCCGGTGGACGTACCTTATATACGACAGCATTTCCAGTATCTGTAAAGCTGAGTGTGCCATTGATCCAGAATGATGTGGTGTGCTGCATTTACCTGGTCCGTTAGGACTGGGGGTCACATGGTCACGCTGCCAGTCTTTCCCCTGTTCACTTTCCCAGCATGCTTTTTTTCAAGAGCGCTGTCCCTCCTCTCCCATGGTTTCCGAGGTCTGTGTCTGTTAATGCATTGTGAAATTTTTCTAGTTTATATTCAATATTGCCGCAAAGCAGTCGGATCAGTGACAGACCTGTAGAACCCAATCTGTATTTTTCATTTTTACTTTTTTTTCCAAGCTACACAGGATGCAAGGCCCACACCTGATTGCAGGCTTTCTTAATGAAAATTTTAATCGCCTTGTTTTAAATAACCCAAAACTGAAATTGCCATTGAAATGGTGTGTGTGTATAATCAGGCTGAATGCAATTTGGATAGAAGTAGAGTTGACCGAAAGCTGAACAGGCAATGAATAAAAAGTAATTTGAAAATAGAATTAAAGAAAATATACTTAGCACAAAGAGCATGGTTGTCAGGCTGTGTTTCTAGAGTGCTTGTTATTTTCAAGTTTAATTGGACTGATGAGTCAGATAACTACTAGCAAGTGAAAAGACGCTGTGCAGAGCAGAGTCTACAGAGTTGCTGGTAATTATTTGAGCTTTAGAACTGCCACACAGATTTAAGTATTAAGATATACATGATACCTCCATATGTTGTGCTTGTACAGCCTTACAGTGGAAAAAAAGGCCACAAAGGAGCAAAACCCAGAATACTAGGGAATACTATGTAATTTTACTTACATGGACTGTAATTTACTCACATCCAATAGAGTGGCATCCAGTGTTTCCTTCTGTAATGGACCCAGAGATTTCATGCTTGCTTAATGCTTTTTGTGTATTACAAGAGCAATGGTCTTAAGCTAATGCAATATTTTTTTAATTTTTTAAGAGAGATTTTCCGAATTATTAGTTTTATAAGGGATGTTGCACTATCCTTTCCTTTTCTAAAACCATGACTGTTTCATTTGTGAGCAGCTCTTTGAAATTGACTGTGACCAATAATTTGTGAAGCTAGACAGAAGAGTGTTTGATTCCTTTTTTTCTTCTCTGTGATAGCAAAATCATATTAAATTACAGTAAGTGTGCATTGTCTTTAGATAATAGAAAAGCTATGCACAATATGTAATATAATTTGTTTCCTTTTCTGCTTTGATTCTGCTGGCTAATGCAAGTTTCAAGTAGAGAGCAGGTAGGATTTAGCCTGCAGGCACAGTGTGTTCAACAAAACGGGTCTGTTATATGGATTGAGTAATAAAATGGAAGTTAAAACAGTGAGGGGGCACAGAGGCAGAAGAGATGCTAATGGGAGGAATACACAGCAGAGCACAGATTATTATTTTTATAGGGAAGAAGGTCTGATAAGTTTTGAGTTGCAGGCTTTAAATTAATGTGCACCACCAATGCTGGGGGGGGGGGAGGAACCTGAAGGGTGAGAAATACAGAAGCTGTCAAATGTGATGCGTGGAAGAAAATAAACCATGACAGTTTTTTTGTTTGAGAGCTAACCATTTAAAAACAATATGTGATTATCAAAGAGCTACAGTATTTATCAGTAAATTTCAGGACAAATTTTAATTCAGAATTGATAGCTTGGAGTCATTTTCATGTCAGTATGTTTCCTCATGAATCCTGATTGTGAATGTGGAAATCCTTTATCAGCGGGTGTGCCCTGTATTACACTGATTTGTCTTGACTGCTAATTTTGTAATTAAGGATGTTGTTGGACTACTTGTCTTTCGATCTCGGCACACTCTCGAGAAAAGCCGAGAGGATCAATTTAAAAGGTACCTTCTGCAGTGTCTCATACATATTAATACAAGTAAAATATCATTTTAGTTTGACTCTAGCGACACCTCCAAATTTCTGATGACTATGACCTTGTAAATAATTCATTGTTTTGTGAATCTGAATGTCAGAAAGATGTTAGTCAGGAAGCTATCTTCACCTGTTCTAAGGCCGTAGTTATTATATAACTGTATGTGTGTGGTATTATGTAATTAAAAGCCCAATCCCTCACACAGTGAGTGAGGCAAAAGAAATGCAATACTCTTCTACAGCCTTTACTCTGAATGCAGAAACAAAATTATGCTGTTAGCCTCTCATTCTTGGTAGTTTTTTTTTTTATTTCTTTCACAATATGCAGTTGTCACAGATGTCACAGTATATATTAAAGAAGATGTCAATAGCTGAGTGCTTTTCTGATCTTTTTTTGTTTATTATATACAGGTTAGTTCTTTGTGCTTCCAGTTTTCCATGTTCCACTTTTTGTTCTTCCTTACATCTGTGTGAGTAATTATATTAGTTCTGCCAGACTCACTGTGGGGAAAGACAAAACCTTCCAATTATTGCCCTCGGCTACTCTATATACTTATAAAGAACATGTGGGAGCTCAACAAGTTGAACACACTAAATCTCTAACAAAGCCACTGTTGGGGAAAGTTCATTTTAAACATTATAGTTTCAAGTTACATTTTCATATGTATTGTGTTTTTGGCTGAAGGAAAATGAAAATGCAGGAAAAATGTGGCAAACAAATTAGTCACCAGGGGATTGAAACAATACTTGGGAGCTGAAATTCTGGAGACTAAAAATGTTGAGAAAAAGTTGAATGGGAACATCTGAAGGGTTTTGACTGTTTATATGGTAATATGTGGCAATTATCATAGGCAGATCATTTAATTTAGAAATACAGAATGTGATCATTCTCTGGTTGCTAAAAAACGTATCTTCCTATTTTGAAGAGTGGTACTGGCAAAATTAGTTTGAACACTACATTATTGGCAAGCAGATGGCCAATGAAAAACCTGTTAAAATTTCTGACCCTGTTTATACAGCATGTTTTACAATAGTGATGCAACAAGTCATATAAAGCTAAATTATTATACGTTTACATGACTAACATTATATGGTTTTGCAAACATTCATCATAAGTGGAATAAAAAAGCATATTTATGTCTAGGGTTCATTATAACATTTCATTTTCTCATTGCCTGTTGCAGGAGATCAGGATCATTGTTTTATTTTATATACTGTTGATACAAAGTGCTGTCTTTTGATTCCGTGGCTCACTAGAATTGGGTAGATCCAAGATGGTGTTCATGTTATTCCGCAGTGAGTGGAAACAAATCGTTTTAGTACTAAAAATGTTTGTCCTACTTATAAGACCAGCAGATGCAGCTAAACTCAAAACTATTTAATTTGTTGGAAGACTTGCACATGTTTTTATATTTTCTGATAATTGAGTTTTATATTTAAAAAAAATAGTTAAATATAACATTTAACTAGCTGCTGAAAATATGCACATAAATCCAAAACTAAAGCTTTAAGAACAGTGAAAGGTCTCTCACAGTAAGTTTCCATTCATAGTCATATAAACAGCATCAGTAAATAACTAGCTTGTTCTTTTTTCAGTGACCAAAATTAATGAATATATCTTCACACTCAACTCGTCCACCTGTAAAACCCATCAAAAATTGTACAGATGAATTTCTGGAGAATGTTTTCATTTGTTGTCTTGACAACACATGTTTACTTAGGGTTTTTTGTTGTTGTGCATAATAGCCTTAACTGCTTTTTTTTCCCCTTTCCTCTGGTCTAAAAACTCATGGAAAACTCATTGATGGCAAAACAAAAAATGTTTCCAAGCAAGAGAGGTTCAACTATTACTATTATTAAGTTTTTATTTAAGTCTTGAAGTAACTTATTAAAGTAACTTAAAAGTAAAAACATATTATTCTGTATTGGAAATATGATCAGATAATTTAGAGAAAGTACAGTCCACTTTCCAATCAAAATTGGATGAGATTATTTAAGAAACCATGAGCTGTTTCAGAAAGTGGTTTTGAAAATATGCAATTGGTAGAAGGAAGCACACAGCCTAAATGAGTTTTTCCTAATATTAAAATTATTCCACAACAAATAGCTCCTTGTTAACTCATTGACTGTTTTGAGAATATGAGAGAGTTATTTGCTTTTGCATCTGAAAAATAAGTCAAGGAAACATTTTTAAATCAATACATTTTTTTGGACATAATTGTCATTTATAGCTCTAGTTCATCTGTTTCAATCATTTTTCTCATAAAGCTAAATAATTGCTTCTATTACTTTTAGGTTAATGGCTTGTAATGTTGTTCAAATTGGGGGAAATTGGCTAAGTAATTAATAGGAATCTACTGCAATTAAAAATAGAAAGACTCCTAATTGTCAAGAAAATAACAGAATGCCTCATTAACATTTTGACATTACATGAGCGCTTTTGATTTTTCTAAGTGAAGAGAAATTGCTGGATATATCAATATTAAATCACTTTCAGGAAGGAAAACATAAATGTACTTGTATATTCTTATTCTGGTACTGTGGTATTCATAATTGCTCTTTTTTTCCCCAAAATAAAAAGATTGTGATTGACATTTTTGAAACATTATGCTCACTGCAAAATGTGTTCCAATTTTTCTTTTTCCAGATAGAACCCATTCAAAATTCCAAAATGGATAGGCTGAAAAACATTTTCATTTTATTTTGATTTTCCACATCTCTATTGTCTCTTTCTTCATCATATAACTAGAAGTTTAAGTAGGGAGATGAATCAGTATGCATAGGTTACAAAGGAAGAGGTAAAGGTTTATTCCATGCTGAAAAGAAAAGACGCAATGTTTCGGCTGTGGAGCCTTCAGCAGGTGTCCTTCTTTACACCTGAAGAAGGCTCCACACCCGAAATGTTTTGTTTCTTTTCCTTTCAGCATGGAATAACCCTTTACCTGTTCCTTTGTATCATATAACTAGGATCAATTTCTTCAAAAAGGCTTTGAAAATACCCTCTGATAATGATTTTTTAAACATTGATACAACGTGGTCTTTTATGCACTTTATTAAAACCCATCCAAGGAATTATTCTGTTCGTATTGTTAAAGATTTGTGGTTGCTTGTAGGTGATATTTGTTGTGGAGTAGGTTTCATTTCACAGTTACTAGCAAACACATTAACAAATCCAAGCTGCTGTCTGACTTCTTACTGCTTCTGGAAAAATAAATGTATAGATCAAAAGAAAGGGAGCCTTTCATGACTGTTTTTAACCTTAAACTTTAATGAGGCTACAGTGGCAGCTGCAGTAGGCTGGTAAATAAATGTGGTTTTACTCCAGTCCCAGGTTTTCACATTGGTAACTAAAAAGGCTTTTCGGTCTTTATTTTGAAATGTAAATTAAATGTCCCCTCCTTGCATTGGATATTACTGGAAATTCATATTAAACTTTGCATCATTAATTCAATTCTAAAGCAATCTGTTATACAGTGTCACCATTACATGTGTTTGTTGTTTCTGTGATAGATGTGATCTGGAATCTTGTTTCTTACATGCATTAACAACAGCTGTTGCAGTGACAGGCTTTTCTGCACTGCTGTGTGACCAAAAAGTTGGCTTTCTTAAGGCTGATATTCTTAAAATTGTGCAGAAATGATAACAGTACTTACACTATCTCTAGGAGGGTTTTGGTAGTTATGATAGTGATGTTGCTGTATTTCAGAGGAGACACTTTACTTCTACAGCGGGAAAAAAAAGCTTAGATGGTTCAGAAATGCTGTTTACACTTAATGTGTCAGTGTAGACAAATCATCTGTTATACAGAAATGTCCTTTGTTCAAGGTCAGCAAAGCGTGTTTGAAAGGGTTTTATGTCTTGTGAAAGGATTTCTCATTGTATTGAAACCTTGACTAAAATTATGCATTTAATCATTTTAGCACATTTACGACCAAAGGTAATGGCATTTGTTTGTGAGTATCTAGGATGTCAGACGTCACAACACAAAGTTAAGAAAAATGCATAAAATGATTCTGCGTGGCTGCACTTTGTGTCTACACCAAAGGAGTGGCTTCACAATATTTGTAAGATTACAGCACTTTCAGCTGCAGTGATTGCTCTTTTCCTCTGTAAAGCCTGTTTGACCTAAAGGAGTGGGAAACTGATGAGCTGCTGCATTGTACATTGGAAAGGCTCTCTTATTTCACAGCTCTTTTCCCTACATTAATAATTGATCTGCGTTATGATTTCACTGGTAGGCTCTTTACCTTTTAGCTGCATTTATTTGACAGAATATAAAGGGTTATGGTTTTAATGATAAAGTGTAATTCAGAGAGATGCAGAGTTGTGCTCACGCTAATCCAGTGATTGGCATTGTTACCATGGTGAAGGTCACTGTAAAAAGGTGTCTGCCTGGGTAAACCTTTTATGTCCTTGAAATGTGTGGAATAGGGTCACAGGCCATCCTCTCTTGCGTCAGTATTGGTTTGGTTTACATAACATCTGTTTTTACTGCTACTTCAAATCAAATCTTGTTATTCATAAATATTAGCACATTTAGAATAATAAGTAACAAAGCTGTCCTTGTGACAGAGGGGGCTATACTATCACCCTCTTATAGGATGTTCTCCATGTCTCTCCTTAGCAAATAATGAGGGAAAAATGTTAAAAACAGCTCATTTCAATATCATATAGGGGAAAAACACCTTGGATCTTTTATTCTACGTGAATAAAACATTTGCAGATTTCTTTCATAAGTGTGCATATAAAACACCACTGGGTCTACTGAGAGTGTGTGTGCTTAATTTTGATATTTTGGTAAAATGTTTACTGTAGTAACGGCACAAAACATTAAATATCCTGTTCTTTGACAGCACAATGCTGGATAAAATGCTTCCCATATAGATGTCTGCTGTCTTCCTTCTTATACAGTACGTTAGTAGCTTAATATTAACACAGACCTTACCAGTACACTGGCTTCCCCCTCCCCCATCTACAGGTCTTAATGCACCGGCTATAGAGCATTATTCTCCCAGTGAATTTTGTAATCTCAGTTTTAAATGATAGCCTTTTCACCACTCTACAATTTCCTAATTCATAAAAATGCACATATTACTACAGTATTTGTACAATCATCAGAACATCATAACTTTTAAATGGTAAAGACTTGTAAGAATTGTTTTATTCAGATCACCATGACTACTGCCATTAGCAGTAGGTAAAGATAAGCAATATATAAATAGGCATGACTTGACAACTTGTTAACGGCTCTTTACCTTGGTAAATTACATAATTTAAATGTAAGATGAGCTGCAAGGTAGGCTTTTTCCACATAATGAAAAATATTTGATTTAGTGAGAATATGTTTGTGATGCACAGTCAGTGCAGCTGTGGAAAAAGCCAGGAGAATTGTAGGCATTCACTATAGAATTGTGTGCCACTATAGAATATTGACTTTCTGCATGCAGACTCTGCAGTTCTAAGCTTATTTAAACTAGTTTACTTAATAGTCTCCTAATCCTAACTATTAAAAATACCCAGTGGTTGTAGTTTTTTTTTTCAGGAAATTAATGCGAACCTGATAACCAAACATTGTTGGTTAAGCCCCTTATAAGTGCAATACCACTCTTCTTTCATTAAGCAGACTTAACGATTGAACAACCTCTTAAAGTCACTCCCTCAATCATTTAGCATATCACTGTCCTTCCAGCTTTCTGAGCTGTTCCAGTAGCTATATCAGAGTTCACAAAGCCTCTAAAAGAAATAGTATTAGCTAAATAACCTGAGATTACATCTTGAAACACCTTTTTGTAAAAAAAAAAAGTAATTTAAAAAAGGCTTTTCAGATCATCATAATAGCTCTGATCAGCGTTTCTAATTAGCCTGAAGCAGTAATGACCTAAGAAACACAGTGCTTAACACATTTAAAGACTCCCATTGCTATATCTTAATACATCTCTTCCAAACAAACATGTTCTGGTTTGAAAGCTTGACCAGATCCATTTAAAATATTTTATGAGGTTAGAGCCAAAGGATGGATGAGTGGGGTGGAGGATTAAATAAAGTAATAAATCTCTGCTCACAGCTGGTCAGTAGTATGTAATATGTGTTGACGTGATGTTGTAGTGGTATATTGTCTCATTTTCACGCAATGTTGAGTTAATTGCAGTTAGTAAGGATGCCTTAATAGCACACAATATTTTTCCTACTCGAGGCTATTTATTATAAAGGGACAGAGATATAGTGCTTAAGTGGCTTTTTTATATATATACATATATAATATATACATGGATCTTACAGTAAGTATTTACACAATGTATAGTGACATTTACAAAAACCATGCAATATGTACACACAGTCCTGTATCAACTTCTAAAATGTTTTTAACAATAAATAATAATAAATAATCCCCCATTTGTACATTTATTACAGTTGTATTTACATAACTACTTTGGATGAGTGATTTGTGTATTATGCATTATTACCTGACTGGAGTAAATGGCATTTTACATGTAATTTGCTTATTCCACTTCTTCGCTTGCTAGACATTTCTGCCTAACTTCGTTTTCTTCAAAAGTCACTTTTTTGTTCCGTTTTGGGTCTATCCACGAGTTGTGAATGACTGCATTGTTAGGCAAGGGGTCTGCCTCCACTATGGACACCACTCTTTTTTTCATTTTGCTCTTTAGTACTTTTTGAAATTTCTGTCGCGTGAAGGCGTATAGCAATGGGTGAAATATTGTGGTTCCATAAGCCATCACCAGAAAGCCAAGTCTTAGCCTGACCAGAAGACTGCTTGGCCCCACGCTTAAAATGATTGTGTTTAAAACAGTGATTGGTGTCCAGCACAGCAGGAAGGTGGAGATGATCAAGAGGGACATCCTGAAAACCCTCTTTTGTCTCTCCCGCCTCTCGCGGTGACGCTTCACAGCTCTCCTCAGAGCAATGATGACGGACACCGAAGTCCTTACGCCGAACATGACATTACGCCCTCCACTGCTCTGCGACACGTCGGTGGTTTCGTGCTGCGTGGTCATCGATATTGTCTTTTTCTTCCGGGCTTTTTTCTTTTGCACTGTGGCAAACCTGGTACCGATCCTAATGTTCAAAGCCTGCAGGATTTTGGAATACGTGATGAGCATGACAATGGCAGTGAAAAAGAAAATGGGGATCTGGGCAAGAAGGTGATAATACAGCCCCAGCTCAGTGTAATATCTGTTGGTGTCCGTGCCAGGGAGAGTCTTGTTTTGCTCTGTTTTGTCACCTTGAAGGTTGAAGAAACTGACCTCCATGAATGGTATCAGGAAGCTAAAGAAGGACACAATCCAAATGATTGTGAGCAGCATGACTGCCCTACCCATGGTGAGGATACGGTTTGCTGGCTTTACCGAAATATCATAGCGGTCCAGAGTGATCGCAAGCACGTTGACTGCGGTCGCCACACTGGCGAAAGAGACACAGGCTTCATGAAAGCAGCAGATCAGAGCTGTGTTGCTTTCTAGGGAAAGCAGAATAATAACGATGGTGAGGGGGATGCAGCCCACACAAATAATGACATCCAGCACATGCAAGTTCATAGTGACAATGTTACTGACTGAATTGATCAGGTTTGACTTCATGCAGTACAAGACGAGCACTGTCAAGTTGCTGCTGAGGCCCAAAACAATTTCCAGCATGAGAAAGCCAGTAAGTGAAACCTGAAAGCTCAGTGGGTATGGCAATGCCTGATTCATGTTGCTGCTGATGGATTCAGTACTGTCTCGTACAGTAACGTTGTTTTCCGACTGCATGGTGACTTCCAGCACTGGGGGGATATGCATTATCCTGCAAATAATGATGTTTTGGATTAGTGCTATAATTGTTAGCAGGCTTATCGCATCATCAACTTTTATCATAAAAATAACTTCAAACACTGTGGCAAGAAGTGGGAGGACTATATCATTGTGAAGGTCAGAATATAATTCATATACAATGTATAAGAATATATTGTGAGCTTTAGTTCTGCCACTTTCAAATCATGATTATACTTTAAAAAAAGTATTAGAATGCTTAACTAAATCTATTTGACATCTTCACTTACACAATAAACATTTTTGTTAGCTTTTTTGTGTAATACTAATATAAAACCAGAATGACATATTGTTTGAAAGTATGAATTATGTAATGAGAGCAGTTGATCCATGAAGATGCTAAAGTACAAAAAGATCTATTCTATCTATGTTCTGTAACCAACATTAGTGCAACTCAAATTCAAACCATTAAGATTTTTCTGCATGGTAAAATAAGCAAGACATAAATGGCACTACTTTTACCAAGTGTGGATTCTGAGCAGCAGCAGAGTTGTTATCTCAAAAATATTTAGTGTTTTAGGGCTTCAGCATTAAGTACTTTATGGTGTCTTGGCTATTATGTGTTAACTGGAAAAACATATAAATGCATTAATATTTCTTCTGATTGCAGTACATACACCATAAACAATGCTGAAGCACTAGCAGTTTAGCATCAATAAGATGTGAAGGTATTGTACAATGTTTTATTTATGAATTTACATTTAATCTCTTCTACTCAGTGTTATTTTAAAGGCTCGTGTAAATGCAGTATGCTTACATTAAAACACCATTACTTGAATTAAGTAAATTAAGCCACATTCACTAATTTATTCTTTGGATTTCAAAACAGCCTTCTCTAGGAATGGAAAATGATGTGGAAGCCAAATATATTTACACTGGACTTTTTGATTTTTCCAGTGGAGGTCATACAGGGGATGTGTTGAGGGAATCGTGATGGAAATGACTGTCGCAGAAGCCAACAAGCAAAAGGCGGCAAGGCCTCCTTGCTTTCAAAGGGAAATGCTGGAAAGATGATTGGGTTCATGCAGCCTGTGACTTACCTTTCCCCTTAGTGTTTTCTTAGCCTCAGGAGGCTGTAAATGGGCTAAAGCTGGTTTGCTGTTGTTTGTATAGGATGTCATTAGACCCAACCATTTTTTTTTCTTTTAGTTCACTACAGCGATTTGCTTTGCTCTTCACCTTGCTGGACACTTATTTGGTTCTTTAATTCTTCGAGGCTTGACATTCACTTCCCTGGTTTGAGTGTGTTTTCACGTTCCAGATGAATGGAACTTGTGTCCTCAAGGCTTTCTGGCCAAAAGATTTGATAGATGAGAGGATCAGGAATTAAATGTCCAAGCCATGTCCTGTTTACAAAAATATTGTATTCCCAGGCAGCCAACTCTTAAATAGTGAAGAGTATGTGTAAATTTCACAGATGTCGGATTCTCCGTTTTGTAGCAAGCAAATAAAGTGTGCATTTTATTATCCAGTTTCTTACTCATCAAAAAAAAGTTTCATGTTGGAAAAACTATTTATTTGTAAACTTGTTCAATGAGATTGTTTTCACGGTTTATAAAAAAAACATGGAGAGCCAGGTTCTTCAGAGAGCAGTTTATTTTCTGTCACAGTGTAAAAGGAGCTAATTATAAGTCCAGGATGGAAATGTATCCCTTTGTCAGCTGAGCATAAGATTTGCGTGCAATTGTGTTAAGGCTGAGGGCGCAGAGTGAGCTGAGGAGCTTCAGTCAGCTAATTGATGTAGATCTTCATAGTCCTTTTACTTTGTGTTGCCATATTAAAAGCCTTTTGACTGCTGCAGGAATGAGATGCAGTGAATTGTAAATAAGAATTACACGTCTTCCACTTTGAACACCTTGTCAGCTTCAGAGGAGGGCTGATTTGGAGAAATTGTTCAGGTAAAGATTCTCTCCATCAGGGGGAAATGAAAGCCCCTGTATTAGAAGTAAGAAGACTGCTAGAGTTTCGAGCAGACAGCCAGCCTTATTTATACAGTCATTATTTGTACGAGCGAGTGGACTTTCTGGAGCCGGTAAAGACATAATCCATTATAAAAGCCTTGATTAGTGGTGCCTTTATCTTTTGTAGTTACTTCATTGTGTATATCCTGGAAATTAATAGAGAGGCTGTTAATTAAATTCAACTGAGAGTTCTCTGAGAGATCAAATATGTCATTTGTTATAGACAGTTGGTTAACTACAGTCTTCTCCATCAAACAGTGCAAACTTTGCTTATGTTAAATGCATGCTCAGAGATTAGGTTGCCCTTTCACTTTTTCTTGATAAACATACAGGAGAACCAGAGAATATGAACTACATTTGAATATGCAGTTGAAGTAGGATACTTATTTTAGTACACAAGCACAGTTATATTTCGATAGGTTCATTGGATGTTAATCTTGAAGTCCAGCAGAGTATGAACATGTTGTTCCTAATATTCTATTTATTCAGGGTTTCAGAAGGAACACTGCATTTGTGGCTCACAGGGGGCTGTGGAGCCAGACAAATTATAAAAAAGAAAAGAGCCAAGTCTCTTACTTTATAATGCTGCTATTCCTTTTAGATTAATAGAATATCAGTAACTATGCTGATAAATTGTGAAACAGCACACACTAGGTTTAAATTAAAATTAAATGTGAACACGCAGAAATCTCACATTGGGGAAAATTGTCAAAGGGTGTTAGAAGCTGAAGCTTTATGTTGTGTCCAAAATGCAGTTTTCCCTCTTCTATTATGCAGTTATATCCACATGTAAGTCTTTTTCCCCTTTAAACCAGAATGTTTTTATAAATCCAAATTATAGTTTAAAAGAAAACAAACTTCAATCTAGTAATCTATCACATTGGGAAAAGACACATCTGTCATTGCCCTTGTAAAAAACACTTTGATTTAAAAATTTTCTTGGAACTAAATATTACACTACATGCTTAGAGTTACTGTAGTGTCTTGCTCTGATGCTGTTCCCAGTGATTACAGCACAGCATGGACTTGTTTAAATATAGGCAGAGCTCGGCATTTTCAGCATACAAAAATCTGTTACAAGCACGGCTGAAAATATCATACCGTCTGTGTTTCATGAAGGTGTTTGTTTCAGCATTAATGTGTATGTTTAGAATGTTTTTCTACAATACGTTTTCTAAATGGTATAAAATTAATATTCAGTTAAAACAATTACTTAAGTTTAAAACTAGATGAAGACTGTACTATCTATAAATACTGTCTATATGCATGTTTGTATGCATATATCACACTACAGGACACTAAATGTATGCTTCCTATGTAAGAATGCTACATGTTTTCTAGTACAGTTTTTGTTCTGTGACCTGTACTGTTTAGAAATCCGACTAACTGCTATTTTTTTTAATATTGTAATATCTTTAAGGTGTTACTTGACTCTCGTTTTTCTTTTTGAATATTCAAAATTACAAATTAGTTATTAAAATACTCTGCTTTATTAAGGCTGGGTCTTTTTTTCTCCAGCCAGTAGAAGAGAGAATTTTACCTTGCTGTAGAAGTGCTTTGGAAATGCATCTTTACAAGCTCTTAAAGCAGTCCGATCACCACAGATTCACCATCCCCTTTGTTTCCAGGCATCCTGCATTCTGAGAACATCCAAAACTGCACTTGAGGAGCAGGGATTTAAAGAAACCTGCCCCACTTTCATCCAGCTGTTCTGAAATTCTTGCCGTTCAAAAAAAAAATGTGGTGAACCTGTTACTAGTGTTTGGTGGCGGTGGCTGCTGTTGCTGCTGCTGCTGCCGCTACTACTACAGAGGCTGGTGCTTCTGTTTCTGCTTCTGTTTCTGCTCCAGAAAATCAATAAACGTCTGAAAATGCGTAATGAAAGTAATTTAACATGCTGAAGCCATCATGTCTCCAGAGACAACATTCAGATCCAGTCTTCCCAAAGTGAGAAGTATTTTACACAGTGGCTGTAGGGCAGCTCTCGCAGAATGACAGCTTGACTTGTTTCTGTGCTTCACTGCAGAGAATTGCAGTGCATGCTCTTGTTGTGATTGGTCTCTCATAATGGGCTTAACCCCATCTTCTCTGTGTAGGAGGCTTCTTTGTTCTTTTTCCATATTGATGGTTTTGTGGTAGAATATATCGGATTTTCCTAAGTGAAACAGGAGCCCCTTTTTCAATATACCCATTTTCATTTCTCCATAAGCAGCAAGTGGGATTTGGTTGTGTTTTATATATAGTCACAGGGTCTCGAGCATACTTGATTGATGGAACGAACTGGCCTACAATACTTGTTTGGAGATGTGTGCGTGTATAGCCATTAATCCATTAATTAATTATTACTCCTAGGCAGCACATTATTAATATTGGTCAGTTAGTTAAAAATTCAAATTTATCTCAAACTGGTAAAAATAAATAAAGGGAGATGGAGAGAACTTGAATACCTGATTGATAGTTTTAATTACTTTTGGCTGTCAGTTTGCTGGAAAAATCACAGCCCTCCATTAATTTTATTTGCTTCATTTACTGTGTGAAATCAAAACCAGACGGCAGCTTTCTTTTTGACAAATAGCATTTAAACATTACTGGTAACCATGGCAGGTTGGGGAATTTCAACTTCAGCAGTGTCATGTTTACATTCAGTACACAGTGCCTGCCTGTTGTACAATATTTTGTGAGGACTTCAGATGTATCAGTTTTTAAATTAAATAGAATGAGCTTTGTAATAAGCATATAAGGCAGTACATGCCAAACATCATTTCAGCAATCAAGGACAAGAATCAAACCTAAGCACGTCTTTATGCGTCTTTATTGAAAGAATTTGACAAATGTGATTTGTATAGATTGTTAGATTTAGATCTCATTTTTCAGACAACTGACATGGTTTACCAGCTCAGGCAGAAGACAGTGCCTTATTCTTTTTTTATTGTATTGCATTCTTATAGATACCCAGTTTTTTATATTAAAATAGCTAAAGAGTGCTGTACAGCCAGACGTTTGAGTGGGTGTGCATTGTATGGAGTCTTATTGGCCTGATCTTAGGATTTAAACTACCTCTCTGACCTCTTGGCACTGCATCAGTCTCTACTATACAGTAAGTCCAATGAGCACCTAAAGCCTTGTGACATTTGAACAAATGTGATGTTGTTAAATTCAGATTCAGGAAAGTCAGTTAAATGTGAATGTGGTACAAGGGTGCTGGCTTTAAACCATAAGGCTTGGCTGTTTGGCAGAGCGCAAGGTGGAGTTAAATGACTGGAATATTATTATTCACATTGACTTTAAGCTGCATAATCGCATTAAACTATGCTACTTATAATGTAAAGGATGAAGAAGAGTACATTGTGAATATGATGTACTCCTTCAGATCTCATTTGTAAAGGGAGTTATGGAATAATCTAGTCAATTATTGCGGTTAATGAAAATGAAATATTACCAAATCATATACTGAGCTGATCATTTCTCCATGATTAATCTTAGAAGTAATGTAAAGTAAAATAAACACTCAGGCATAATGCTAGCTGTTCCCTGTATCATGCCAGTGTTAGTGTTAACTTGACAATATGTCATTGGAAGCTTTATAAAGTCATTTACCTTCTAAATCCATAAATCTTGTGACGTCAGAGTTGTGTGCTTTTGGTGACCTGTTTTCTCTTAATCAAATCATTCAACTGATTCACAAAGACACAACATGCTGTTAACTTACATTTGCCAGCGTCATAAATAGCTGTTATCAAAAAAACATGTCAAAATCCATGTTTTTGTTCTTTTTTCTTTTTCATATTCATGAATATGAACATGCATTTAAGTTATCACTCCCAAAAATGTAGAATTGTTTGGTGCCCTGATCAATCGTTTGGGCTCATTTATCATTTTTAATGCATTTGAACTGGTCCAGTTTGTTTTAGGCAGCACATTACACAAATCTGCTTTGTTGCTTTTTGTGTCATCATTGCTTTTTTGTGGCAAAAATAGGAGGCTTTGATGTAGCTGTGGAGGCTGATCGGCAGGAGAGGGAAAATATCTTGAAAGATGATCCCTCCCAGAAGAGTGAGAAAGCTTCACAGATTTGAGTTGTGAGTTATACATGATGCGTACTGTATACAGTATCTACATATTCCATTATTTACTGAGATTTGGAAAACCTGTAACATCAGTACAAATGTAAATTCACTGATATGCACATTTATTATGCTAATAATATTCTGATTCTTCATGTTATTTACTTAATAAAGCAATGAGCAACTGTACCCTGAAATTAATAATATCAGGACATTGCCTACAGTCATATGTTAATTTTTTGGGCATGTCTCTGAACAATTTTGCCAACAATGATATGTGAAGACAAGTAATGATTTCTTAATCTATCAAACAAAAACCACTGTAGGTCTTTTGGCACATGATACCGTTTCTGCCAAACATACCCCAACACTAACTATATTCCTCATCCTACTGCTACTCCTGGGTCCATAGGAACAATAATAGACCCAGGGAGATTTGATGTGATTTATTAGCTCGCTACAAGCCTCTACTGCAACTACTGTTATATTTGAAACCTACTAGGTATTTCATTATTCTGCGTCTCTAAATTTTTGCGTGCAGTAACATTTATCTTACACACTGTTACTGTAGCAACAACTGAACAGAGCAATATACACATTTTAGAGGCATGTAAACAAACAAGCGTAATTTAAATATTAAAACAGCCGAGAGCTGGTTACATGAGGAGAAAAGGTTTGTGCCAAATATAATGCATTCCTTTCACATTGTGCGGAATGACCCAGTGACCTGATTATATAGTGAAAAAATACAAAAATAAGAATTATTGTGCTGTTTTGTGTTTTTATTTAATCTAATTTAATATATACCTACATATGTATGTATTATATTTTATGTAAACTATATTACCTTACATCTGTATTTGTGTATGTGGTATGTTCTTATTAATATTATTTTATTATTCATTATTGAATTATTTGTATATTTATCAAAACACTCTTTTAATTTTTAAATATCAAATTAAATTTCTTTCTGCCATTTTGCACACCAATATGTGAATATTGCAGTGTTAACAGGATTCATTGTGCTGGTGTTGTGTGACGTCCTGAGTTGTGGACAGAACTCAATTGCATAATTGAAAATCATCATGAAAATTATGATGGTATATCTACGGCTGTTGGACAGAGTTGCCAAATACATGGGGGAACTGTACTGTCAGAAAGATGTTCCTCTAAATTGATATGTAAATTTAATAAATTGTTGATTTTATAAGTAATGCCAGGATATCATTTTTTTTCCCGTTTGCTATTACTCAGCTGTGTTAATCTAATCCCAAGAATGGCATTTTCAAGAAATGTAAGGAAGTCTCGGAGACTAAAAACTATTTGAACCACATTTTAACTGTGATTAATGTTTTCACTTTAATCTAATATGATATGGAAAATTGTCTGGTTCCCGCACAATCTGGTGTATACTTGCTATATGTATTTCATTTATTATGTGTAAAATGTCTAAATCCAGCCTATTATTCAAGGTTCAGCAAGCAAATTAAATTTGCTTCACTTGCCACATAGTCAGGATGGTCTTTTGTGGTGTGTTTCTTAAGTGGTTGGTGGTCACACTTCACTGAAAATCTACTGAACCACTAATAGTTGGTTCTTTACTCATACATTGTTGCATCTAGGAAGTGTACAATAACAGAATACTGTATGGAAAGGGTTATATAGGTCGAATTGATGGCTTCTCAAAGGAGTTTAAAACAAGTGAGTGAAGAGGTAATGCAATGGTATTGCTATTATTTAGCCCTTTAAACCTTAAGCTACACAAGTCTAGCTCAAATAACGCTGTAAACTAAGGAGATTAATTTGTCTTAATATCAATAGAAGATCAAATCCCATATCATCCATTTTGAACATTCCTGGTCATTCATTGAGTACTCAATTAACCAGGCGCCTTTAAAGGAGTCGATTTGTTTAATCCCCAAGATTGTGTATTTTTAAGATACGTATTTGCAGCTAAGGAACACGAGTCCCCTGTAGTCCAACCTGTCAACCTCGGACCCCATCTGTGACCTCAGAGAGCCTCTGGATCAAAACAACAGTTGTTGAAGTATCATCCAGAGGGAGGATTTTCTTTTTGTTTTTACTGATATTAAGTAAAGGTTAAGTTTGCTCAGTGGGATGTTGTTGAAAGATGTGTTTGTGGCATGAATGCTCCACGTATTCAGCATCTGCTTCTTACCTGCCATGTGTCACCCAGGTGGGTACTGCTCATCAGCGGTGGTTGAAGTGGGTCCCCTGGTATCTGTTAAACACTTTCATATGAAAACACTATATTTTTATTATTACAATCTAACCTTTTCACCTTCTCACCTTGCAAAGGATGCTTGTTTTTATAACATTCATTTATAACTGGAGCATGTTTGAAATGGTTTTAGTTTTGTGTCACTTTAAGAGACCTCATAAAATAATAAACCTGGTTGTAATGCTTGGTTTTAGTTGGATCTGTTGATATGAGGAGACCTGTATGGGCAAAATAGGATTGGGCTGTTAGGAAAGATCAAAGGTAAAGACTGAATATGAAAGGTGAGAAGAAAAGCTGTGCCCTCACATTGTAGCAAAGCAGAAGTGTCAATAGCAGGGTAAGCCTGAACTGGAGTTGCTCAGCAATGACTGTAAAAAGAGCTTGAGTATGATGGGGATTTTATAAGTCTAGTGGAGTGTTACCAGGCCAAAAAGAAACACTGGTTGACACTGGATTTGTTATGGAATCCAGTGTCCTCTTACCTTCTCAAAAGAAATTTCACCCAGTTAAACCAGTACTATACTTTTAAAAATCTATAACTCAGTAATGACCTTAACTATTGACTTTTGGTGGTTAAAATTGCCCATACTGTGGGACTTGTGTTGTATAGCTTTAGAAATGCATGGCCATGACTTTTGTCTGTCCAATCCTGTTGATCTCTCAGTGTGTGTTTTTGCAGCTTGCTGTCCTTGGAATGTTCATCCCAGTATACAGTGTGGAGAAAAGACACCCTCACAACTTACTGAATCAGTGTGTGCACTTAGTTTTTCACACCACAGTATTGAATGCCGGCTGAAGTTTTTTAAATA